CTTCCTTATGCTGTGCTTTCTTTTTCTTTTTCTTTTTCTTTTTCTTGCACTAGTACTCAATTGTGGGTATCTACCTGTGATTGTGTAGAGTCATTCGGGGATTGGGTGTCGTCCTGGTCTTCCTTATGCTGTGCTTTTTTAATAGATTTATTTTTTGGGATTAGATATACTTTCACCTTCTCGTGGTTAATCCTGTCAGTATCGAAGTATAAAGTAGTATCTTTATATTTAGAGAAACCAAGCAAAGTATAACAACAACACGTTTCTTCTATCAATAAAGTCGTTTGATTATGATCGTTTTTTAATGTGTAAAATATAATATGAATAGACTATTCAATAATATTGAGGTACACACGTGAAATGAAAGAAATTATCAAATCGCATATTTTATTTGTGGGTATGGATGAAAGAGCAAAATTCAATCTCGTTTGGGAGAGCGTAAACAATCAGGAAGGTATACTTCATCATCAGCGTGGTTGTCGTCAGAGTCAAACTTGATTGCGGCAGTACTTCTATTACTTTGAACTATGCTTTCTACTTCCTTGCATACTTCCTGCAACATAAATTCATCAATTATCTAAATGATTTATAACATGCTTTTTTTTTTTTTTTTTTTACCATGGCCATCCAAATCAATTGGTAAACTTTGTATAAGTCAAGCCCAAGAGCTTTCTCTTCTCCATTAAAGCCAGCTGCTGTAGTACCTCTTAATCTGCAAACATATCCATCTGGACAGTCCATAATCAACATACGTATCTTACAACCTAAAAATACAAAATTTCTGTCACTACAATGTATGTATTCTAACAATTCATCTTTTTCATTTACGAGAAAAGACCAATCCGACAACTTGTAACTTTTTGATTACTTCTTGCTTATTATCAACTGACCTGCACAATCTAATGAACATATCGTGCATGGTTTTCGGGGTTTTAAGGCTGGATTCAACAATCACTTTAGTGTCGAATTCTTCAGGATCTAACCCTGCTTCCCCACAACCTAGTTCTATCCCGCTTTTGCTACAAATAATTAGATCATTTTTTCTTCCAACTTTCTTTCTTTGCATTCCTTCAATTGTACGATCTCTATTTCTCCTAGCGCTTGATGATACAGAACTAGGTTCTCCTCTATGAATAACAACATCAAAAATGTTAGGTATTTACATAAATGGTTACAAACAGAACAACGTTTTAATAAACCTTTTCGCTTGTAGATCGTATGAATTAATTACTTGGTCAACAATGGTCCAAATATTAACAAGTATATCAACTTCGAGTAATTTTGTTCTACTGAAAAAACCGTTTCTATATGTATTTATCACTGTTCTAAGACATTCCGTTGATACGTATAGATGTTTTTGTTCATAGAAACAGTAGTTTTTTAAGGAGTCCAGTTCTTTATACGTTTTCTAAACATAGAGTTAGTTACAAACTTCAATAATTTAAAACCAAATATCTTACGAGAGTAGAAATCTCCATGAGATGTGTTGACAGGTCAGCAGGAATGGAAGGAAGTATTTTGGTATTTTTGTTGTTGACAATACACCAATGTTCTTCAAATTTAACTTTTAATTGACTATCATTCATATTGATCACAAATGAATGGGATAAGCTATGAATAGAATAAACTCAGTAAACAATTCAGATAACGGCTGAAGACGTATATTACTCTTCTCTCTTTCTTGATATCGCGTAGTCGTAGAGTAAATCTTCGGTGTAAATGCCGTCTTTGAGTTTCCATTTCTTTGTTTCAGACATTTGGTTGAAAGTTGTGGATAAAGCTTGATAGCTAGCAGAGGTTAAAGTTTTTACGGTATTAGTGCTAATAACAGAACTGGATGTCTCCTTGGCGCTTGATGTAGACGGCGTTTCAGATACGCTAATTTTTCTTTTCCTTGTGATTGTTTTAACTGCAGTCGTTGTGCGCTCTTTAGCCATGAGCTTTTTTAATATACAAAAATATATTAGTGCTATTTACCATAGGTTTCAATAAAAAATTATACTTCAAAAGCCAAACGCGTTAGATTTTTCCAGTCTGGCTCAGGCTCGTGGTTGATAAGCTATTGCAATGTTTAGAAATTGCTGAGTAAGTACTATTATTTCACTCACCATATCTTTATTTAATTGTTTAGCGACATCTAAAAATCTTTTCTTCTATACGCTTTTTATTTCCCATTCGTCTGAATTAGAAATAATGAAATCCTTATTTAAGTTATAAAAATGAAGTAAATTGTAATTCCCAGGATCATTGGTGAAGAAGAAGTGTCGTATAACTATAGAAATAAAATCTGTTGATAAGACGCGATTATTTAGTGGTAGACTATGCTTGCCTTCAACAAATTGTGGTATTTTTATACTTTCAGTGGCACTGCTCATGTTTATAATTTGAAGAAGAAAAAAATAAATGAAAGAAAAGAAAACTCGCAAATCTTCAAACTGAAGTTTTATGCGATAATTCTAAACACTAACGTTACACGAGGGCTGATATTTCATTCATGTGCACGGATAGATGGCAAACCACAAACTGCGAACTTCGAGACAAGAAGATCGCTTGTTAGATTGGAGCTCAAGTGCGATTTGATTGTGAGCTATAAGTTGAATTCTACAAGCCTGTTGCTGCAGATGCTTTGGTAAAAATTGAGGTAGAAAGACTGTTAAAATTTCTATATTAACCAATATTTCCCAGCTTCACTGTATGTCATTATTTCAGGACTTGAGGCACATGTTATGTCTACAAACACTGCTGATGATGAGTTATTGCTAGTTCTATCGAATCATATACACTGCCATCATTTGTTTCCCAACTAAAGACACAAAGCAAGTCTGTCATCGGTCAGTTTTTTGATTTGAAGATTGAAAAAAGAAATAGTAACCTCATATTGATGTATTTTGAGTTTTAGAGTTATACATTAAACACTGTAAATATTATAAAATGGGAATTCAATGATTAAAAGAAAAGGAAGAGAATTATAGAACGTAAGATGCAATAAGATGATAATAATAAAGAGGCATAACCTCTCCAAAAAAGAAAGCTTGCTCCAATTTGGAGATATAAGAAAAATGTGAAAAATTAGTTATTATACATTAATCAAGTTGAAACACACAACCTTTACATCATATTCACCTGTTCTCCATGAATTTTTTATTGGTTTTGGTTTCTCGTGAATTAATAAAGATATGACAATACCAATTGGATAATTTAATAGCATAATAGCTTCAAACATTACATTTATATCTTCTTGCGGATATAAATGAGGCAAAACTTCCTCTCTTGATGTTAACCTATCATCCTTATAACAATAAACTGGATGTCAAGAGTGCAACTGTGACGAATAGCTTCTGATCTTTTGTTTCTTGATAGCTACGCCTGTGGATAATACCCCGATCCGTTCTCCTGATGTTGTTAACCCCATCATATTAGAGATGATCTATTCGCCTAAACTCAATCCTATCGAGGTGTTCTGAAAAGTATTGAAGGACTGAATCATAAGTGAATTGACAGATGCAGAAACATTCTCTTCAAATATTATTTAAGGCAGCAAGGATAGATGTTCCTGTTGAACGTGTACAAAGTTTCATCCAGCACTCAATCAATGTATTCCCTAAATTCTTGAATAAAGAACCTTTGTAATCATTTTAATATTGGGCAATTTAACCTCACACAAGTGTCCAAAATTATTCAAAAAACTGGGTGGTATTTTCAAACATCTGGCAAATTGAGAGTGAAAGCACAGTATGTGAGCATTTTTTCTATTTTGGGAATGATCACTCCTCTAAAATCCAAGCCCAGCTCTGCGCTTTTTTTTGTTGCTCTTTATTCACTGCAGATACACTATGGCAAAGCTGCTTTTAGTTTGCCTTTGCACGCTAATATCAACATTATTCTTATTCTGCGGCCCAAGTCAAGCCTTGTACTTACCAGGTGTTGCTCCAAACGACTATACGAGCGATAGTAATGTGCCTTTATTCGTCAATTCACTTACTCCCATGTCCAATCAGCAAAAGTCGCTGATATCTTATGATTATTATGATGAACGCTTTCACTTTTGCAAGCCTGAGGGTGGTCCTGAAAATCAACCTGAGAGCTTAGGCTCAGTATTATTTGGTGATCGTATCATGACATCCCCTTTCAAGGTAACGTGTACATGTGTATATGTATACACGTATACATGTCTAATTCTTGTCATTACAGCTTACACTCGGTAAAGGGCTCGCGGATGTGATTCTATGTAAAAGTGATGCCATTCCTGCTAAGGATGTAGAGTTTATTAATGAATGTATTGCAAATGATTACGCCATGAATTGGGTTGTCGATGGTCTTCCAGCAGCTCACATTACAATTGATGAACGCACAAACGACCAATATTACAGTATCGGTTTTGCACTTGGTGCTTCTGAAGGAGAGAGAAAGTACCTGAACAATCACTACGACATCAAGATTTCTATTCATCGACGTGACGATGGAAAGTATCGAGTTGTTGGTGTGATCGTCACTCCTTCAAGTCGGAAACAAACCATTGATGCAAATGGAAAACTTGTCGTATCAGATTCACCCATGACTTTACACGCAGGCGATCAAGTCGTTTATACTTATAGTGTCACCTGGCAGGTAATTATTACTGAAAAGTTCGAGACAACAAAGCTGATTTGATGCTAGCCATCTGATAATCCTTGGGCTACTCGTTGGGATAACTATTTGCGTATCCAGGATCCTTCCATTCACTGGTTTTCTTTGAACAATTCTATTGTTATCGTCTTGTTTTTAACAGGTATGGTTGCCATGATTTTGATACGCGCTTTGCATAAAGATATCTCTCGCTACAATGCCGTGGAGGCACAAGAAGATGTCCAGGAGGATTATGGGTGGAAGTTAGTTCATGGTGACGTCTTTAGACCTCCGCAACGACGCATGCTTCTTTCTGTACTTGTCGGAAATGGTATTCAAGTTGTCGCAATGGCCGGCTTAACACTAGGTAAGATCCTTACAAGACAATGAGGAGAAAAAAAATAACTAACAAATTTAAAGTGTTTGCTGTCCTTGGATTCTTATCACCCTCCAACCGTGGTGCGCTTGGAACAGTGATGGTTATACTCTTTATGGTTTCCAGCTGTACTTCAGGATATATATCAGCTCGCCTCTACAAGATGAACGGTGGAGAGAACTGGAAGATGAACATTTTGCTTACGGCAACCCTTGTACCAGGCTGTATCTTGAGTTTCTTGTTCTCTATGAATCTCTTCCTGATCCATTCCCACTCTTCTGGAGCTGTTCCCTTTGGAACCATGATCACCCTGATTGCACTTTGGGCCATTATTGCTCTTCCTCTTAGTGTTGCAGGATCATATTTTGGTTTCCGCCAACCTCGTATTGAGCACCCTGTCCGTACGAATCAAATTCCACGACAGATTCCTGATCAACCAATGTATCTTCGTAGTATCCCATCTATTCTCATGGGTGGTATCTTACCCTATGGCGCAATCTTTATTGAACTCTATTTTATTATGAACTCGATCTGGTTCCATCGTATTTATTATGGCATTGGTTTCCTTTTCCTTGTCTATTTTATCCTCATCTTGACCTGTACCCAAGTAGCCATTCTTATGTGCTATTTCCATCTCTGCAGTGAAGAGTATCATTGGTCATGGCGGTCCTTTTTGACCACAGGCGCTACTGGTTTCTATGTATTCTTGTATTCTATCCTTTATTATTTCACCAAGCTAAACATCAACACTATCACGAGCACAGTCTTGTATTTCGGATACTCCTTCTTACTCAGTCTGATGCTCACTCTTTTCACTGGATCCGTTGGCTACCTCTCATGCTTATATTTCTTACACAGAATTTTTGCTAGTATCAAAGTAGACTAAAAATAATATAGAAAATAAAAATAGTGTGTGTTTTCACTTGAAACGAGACATAAATTTGACAGGTCCCCTAAATAAGTCCCAAATAGGAAATGAAGATACGCCCTGTAGAAAAACAGCCACAATGATATTTTATATTTTATGACCCTTTATCCATAACAGTTCACACAGCTATTAAATATACATCATCTACTGAAATTTCTACCAACTTTAAAAGTACTTCCATCTCTATTACTGTTAATTTTGTTTGCCCTACTATTCCAGATTATGAGAAAAGTGTTCAGACCGTTATATTTACTACGTCTGATAAGTTCGAGGAATGGCTCAAAAAGGACGCGTTCTCGCTTGCTAAGTGGGTATTTAAACGACAATATCCCGTTACAAGCAATCCCTAGTTCATCGGGAAGCTCATTCCTGAAGCTTTGTCAGCCCACACTACCTTCTATTTGTGTGATCATGCTGGTGCCGATAAGAAGAAAGCTAAGAATAGCACAGGTACTATTGATGCTACTAGCGTTGTATCGTCTGTAGATAATGATCAAGGTAGTCGCAGTAACGAACTAGATATTATGCGTCATAAGGAGACCCGTATTGCTATGAAGTCTTCTATCAAGATAGGTTGCATTGCCAAAATCATGAAACATGTCATGACGGACGGCACAATCCATGTTGAATACCACTGGGAGCATCCTGGTCACTGTCTTTGGAATATCAAGGAAATTACGAAATCTCGCTTGCCTTTTGAGATCAAACAATGGATAATTGAAAAAATCAGCGAAAATATGGACTGGAAAACCATTGTTGTATTTGACCATGTCTAATACTAATCTTTACGTGTGAGATTACATTTGTACCTTAATTAGTACTTCGACCTCTTTTAAAATAACCTAATTTCTTTTTGCTATGAGCTCCTTCTCTCACTTCAAATAAAAAGTATAAAACAGAGACTCATCACTTCTTTGCTTTTATTCTACACATTACACGAGCACTAACAACAACAACTGCAACCAATACATTAACCATCAAGCAATTTTTACGTATTGATGACGAACGCCTCATTGGGGTAATGATGCTTGTTTTCATCCTTGTATTGTTATTAAACACGATAATAATTTAACTTTCTATAGCTTGAAAAGAAGAAGTCATTCAGTAGCTTCCCTATGTCACTTTTAATCAATTACCAAGATGTAAAGAATATCATCAATGCTCACACGAACTAGCTATCAAGAAAAAGTTGTCGCGATAAGCATAGTTGTGAAAAGCGGATGAAGTATTTGGAAGAAGAAAAAAAACTGCTCGACTCTTTTTCGTACCCATGAAAATGGTCCGTTCCTAATCTTATGGGTATCTGATTGGCAGAAGAAATTCCTTGGAGAAGCTGAAGAATGGTGTATCGATAGCACTCACAAAACATGCAAGTCTATTACGGACAGCTCCAAAGATAGCTACTTGTTCATTATCGTCGTTCATAACTGCACCACGAACAGAGGTCTATCTGTTTGTTTTTTCATCACTGATATAGAAACCATTCCTACTTTACATCAGTGATTAACCTGGATAAAGACCAACTTCTCTTTGAACATGAAGCGAATTATGATAGATTGTAGTTCTGCCGAGACAGCTGAAATAAGAGAAGTCTTTGCCAATGTAGACATATTTTTATGCCATTGGCATATCAAGCGTACATAGGAAACCCACATCAAGAGAGGCGTAAGTTTTAAACGTGGGCTTAATGTAGATATTAAACATCTTATAACATTTAGATGAAAATAAGCAAGTCTACTCAAGATATGAAGCTGGTAAGAGATCGTGTTCGCACTAATCTCAATAGCATGATGTATTCAGAAGCGCCAGAAGTATTTGATCTGGGTTCATCAGCTGTTCCTTGCTGAAAATAAGGGATTTGAAGTATTCCTTGCGTACTTCAACAGCTTGTGGCTCCCAAGGAAGGAATTGTGGTCAAAAGCGTGAAGGCAGGTAATCATTAATGATTATTGTCTCAGTTTACTAGAATCTAACTTTTCTGTCTATTTATAGATTGCTTCTTTCCACACTAGCAATCCAACAGAATCGTATCATAACCAATTGAAGAACTTTTATCTTGGCCGCTCTCGCTCTTTGCGTATAGATCGCCTAGTCTATTTGTTATCCCAAGTGGTAGCATTAGATTACTGGCAGGACATAATCAAAGCTGCGCATGATTTTGGTGGGGTTCGCTTGACAGCCAACGAAGCAGTGCATGCATGGTATGAACATCAATGTGTGTATCACAAATGAAAACATGACATCACAAACATGCATGTACTGTTTCTCCAAGCTGGACCACCCCATCCATCGAAAGGTTATAAAAGGCAAAGATATCAAGACAAAGGTCAAAGGATCGTTCTTGTGTCGTAATCCTGACTGTGTGTTGGTGCCAAACAAAAAAGTCACCAAGTCTAGAGACAACCTGTCTGCCCTCGCCATTGGCCTTTATGGCCTTTGCTCGTTACTCTTCCAGGAAACATTTCCTGAAGTATCTGCAAAAATCAGTCAATCCAACCTTGACTTCATAAACAAGACCGCATCCTTCCTAAATGCAAGAGAATGCTGGGACACTGGCCATGATGCCAGTAATCGGGGTAAGTCAAAGACATTTGAAAAAAATGGCTTCTAATATTCTTCAATAGATCGAGTTGTGGCCTCTTAATTGTAGTGGCAATTTAACGTTCTCGAAGAGAAAAGTTTTGAGTTATGGTTCCGCGCTTTTGACATTCTCCCTGGTTTACAGAAGCATAAGCTTTCCTTGGAGGCGGATATGTCACAACCCACTCCAATCTCAGCGTCTGTCTCTATGGTATTACCTCTCTCTGAGGTTATTGATTGGCCTTCTGAGGGTCCTTTGTTGCTCAAGCGCTCCTCCTACTCAAATATTCAGGTGCAGGATGCTTTCATTTTCGATCCTCAATTGCAATTTATACAACGCAGACTAACAGCAGAAGAGAAGCGCGTTGTGAAACGCGGACGTAACCGTGTTGTTCGATTGTATCAATTGTTAGACTCGCATTCTGTGTGCTTATCACCTTTCCTCTCTCGCCTGATGTTGCCTTCTCAAGTTGGCTTACATGATGGTACTTTGGGTCCAACCACCATCGATGATACAATTCTGCCGCTGGTTACCCCATTAGTCGATCGTCAGACCCAGCTAATCCAGCCTTCTCACATGCGAAAGCTTATTCGTAAAGCATCCCTTTCACAGGCTAAAGAGTCCTCAGTCGCACTAGGTAATTCAGTCAGGTTTTGGAAATCTTTTTGGCGCATGGATGTTCCTTTGCCGGCTCGAAACGTTTGGTTTCGTTTGATTCATGGTAAGCTGCCTGCCGCTTCCAATCTACACAAGATTATTCCCTCTTTCTCTCCTTTCTGCCGTCTGTGCAATCGGGGTTCGCCTTCAGAAACCACTTGTCATTTCTTAATTGACTGTAGAAAAAAGTACCTCGCTTGGAAGCTCATTTGGGCCCACTTCTTTCCTATGTCCCCATGGTCTCGTCATGCACTACTGCAGGCAACCTTACATCTGAATTTCCCTTAACAGAATTCAGTGCAACCTCTTGATTCCTCTAGCATCTTTGGATGCAGCTTGTTGATGATATGGAAAGCACACTGGCGTTTTATTTTTGATTCTACGCCTTTCGTACCTACCCTGGTGCTTCAAGAAGCTATTCGAGTGGTGCAGTCGTTAGCCCTTGCAAGGACTGACAACCTCACTTCTCCATAGTCAGGATAGCATATTGATTTTATTTCCTTTTATTTACTTTATTTTCTTGTACTTCGATTTTCCTAGTTCACCGCTGCCTTTGGTACGTGACTTATAAATAAATAGAATTTGGCTTTTATGCTCCTACAAAAAAATACAAAAAAAAAAAAGAAAAATTTTGAGATCTGATAGATCATTTACTGTTATCTACCATGCCTAATGCTAGAAAGAAGAAGCAAGCTAAAAATGAAGACTTTCAAGTAAAATATAGAGAAAGGCATACATACTTGTTTATTTACACATTTTATAGAAAAAGAAATTAAAAGTCGGCAAGAAGAAGGCTGTACCAGATAACTTTACAGATACCTCATTTAGATCTAAAAGTAAAAAAGAGAGTATTAATAAAGTAGAAAGCAGGGCAGCTAATTTAATTATAGGCATTGTTCTACCTAATCAAAGCATCAATGAAGATAAATCTCATGAAATAACAACAAGTAGAAATCTTACCTTGTCAGATCTACTTGTAAGATTAAGGCATCCTAATGCAAATGTCAAAAAAGGTTAGAACAATAAAAGGAAAAAAGAGAGAGAAAGCAGCTAATGCTATTACAGAGGCTCTTTTGGGACTGAGTGATATCTGTTCAAAGAATCCAGGATTACTGATATCCTCACTGGGACAAGTTGTTAATGGGCTATTAAAGCTATTTATCGACGAAGTAAGTTATTATCCATAGCATATTGCTTATATCTTACATTATGAAATAGGATAGAGACGTCAGAAAGGCAACCCTCAGCTACCTTCAGGAGACGTTTGTGGAAATAGACAAAGTTGAACTTCAGCCATTTATGCCCATCTTGATCATGTACACATGTTCAGCCATGACTCATATCTTTGAAGATGTTCGTTTGGATGCTGTTAAGTTTATGAACTTGTGGATACAGATTGCTCCTGATGTGGTTGTTTCCAAATTCTGGAATAGGATCAGAGGAAATTATATGAGTCTACTCTCTGTGGATGCAAACAAATCGTCACAAACCAGCGCTCCATCTATGATGATTGGAAGCAACACGTCTACGGCTTCTATCAAGGCAGCTGTTACAAAATCACATCTACATATACACAAGGTATTATTACTTAAAAAAAATGCATGTACATTTTAATAACCTTTCTGTGTTTATATAGAACAAACTGGGATTCTTTTCTAGTCTTTCCAAGTTCCTTGAAGCAGGACTTTCTGAGGACAACCAAGACAAGTTTTGGTTCTTTTTGAACTATTTGGACAGTAAACATTCAAAGGAATCATTTAAGCGAAAGATGGAAAAATATAACAACTCAGTCAAAGGAGAAGCTGTCATCTGGAACACAAAGACAAAGGTAAGAAAAAGAAACAAACAGTCTGTTCAATTTGGAATTTACTTTTACGCTTTATGACAGAATGAGTATATGCCTGCTCATCCTATGATTGTTGCAACGGCACCAAATTTATCAGAAGAATATAAACTCGCGACATTTTCACATCTTCATCTATTTGAGTCTTCAGGACCCAAGAACAATAACAACAAAACCATTAATGTGCTAGGCAGTAAAGGGCAATCGGATAATATTGATGTGAACAATACTGAATTCAGTAGAGATGATAGACTTGATAGTATTGAGGTATAGTATAATGGATGAAACGAGATAAAAGAGAGCCTTATTCATGAAATATTACTAGGGCATGATTGAGGCCTTCCAACCTGTTCTGGTAGCCTCATGGTTAGAAGCAGCCCCCTCTGTGTTTGTATCAAGCGGCACCATTTCGATGACATCTGCTCTCGAGTTGATATACGAAGTCATGAAAATCTCGGTTGTGCTCTGGAGAGCCGTCGTTAGCTCACAAAAGATAAGCACTATGTCAGGCGAGTGGTTGAACAAACACCTTCAGACGACACTCAAGCGCTTCCACGTCTACTTTCCTTTTGGTGCTGATTCATTAGGCAACAGAGGGTCGAAGGCAGATGAAATCTTGCTACATATGAATATTTTGTTCTGTGAATTGACTTCTTTATACCTTTTGGCAAAAACTATGCAAAGAAACAAGATGCAACTCGGATCAAAACGTCAAAAGACACAAGATGACCAAGTTCCCGAATGGACTGAAACTGTTGTGGGTTTTGTCTTTGACTCACTTGGTTATCAAGCAAATGATACGATGACATCAGGTAGTTCTAGTTTTAGAGCAGATAATCTAGTTTCTTTGCTTCCTGCTATCTGGGGTTTCTTGAACTGTTTAAGTAATGAAGAAAGCATGTCACTTTTTGATGCTGTCATGACATTCCAAAAGAAGTGTCAGGCTCCTACTACCAAAAAAATTGCATCTGATTTTATCATTCACATGCATACTGTAAGTAGAGTCTTGTATTATCTATCTCTTATAAACTAAAATTCATTTCTCAGGCACAAAGTACTCCTCATTACAATGGAAGATTTATCATCCCTCGTGGCTCTTCTTTAGCAGACGCAGTAGAGGAAAGAATCCAATCTATTACTATTAAATAAAATGTACATAATACACGAACCCATTTTCAGGCACAATCTGACTTTAGACTGTTCCCCTTTTTTTCTTTTGCCTAAAAGCAGGTCACACTAATTCACGAAAAACGCGAGTTTTGAAATTTTTTTTTTCGTATTTTTTTTTTAACCCGATAAATGGCTGATAATAGACAAGAAATAGCAACCTTAATAGACGAAGTAGCTGAACAAAGAAAGGCTCAATTCAAGGAATTCCTTTCTCATGAAGTAATAAACAGTGCACTACTATATAAACACAGTTACTGAATAAATAGTTAGGATCATCAAGGCATTTCCGAGAAAGGCGCATATCGGGACCTGATCCCATCTATGCTTGCCAATGGCCAACGTAGACTTGTTGTCAGTATTGATGCTCTTCGCTATTATAATAGAGAATTAGCCAATGAGTAAGAGGAATAGCTTGTAATGATATGGTTCATGACTCACTTTCTCTTTCTAGTCTCTTGACCAATCCCTCAGAGTGCTTACCTGCCTTTGACAAAGCCTTGAAAGAACTGGTTGAAGCAGTTGGTGATAAGGAACAACACGACTTTAACAAGCCATTCTATGTTGGATTTAAGGGTAGTTTTGGTGATCACCATGTGAACCCTCGTACCTTACGAGCAATGTATTTGGGAAAGATGGTGTGCATCGAAGGTATCGTCACTCGTTGTTCTTTAGTTCGACCTAAGGTGCTCAAATCCGTCCACTTTAACCCCAAGAATAACCGACACTTTATGCGAGAATACAGCGACGCGACTACGCCCGGAAACTCAATTCCCACCGGTGCAGTGTATCCCAAGGAAGACGAAGACGGTAATGCACTGATTACCGAATTTGGATACAGTACATACCGTGATCACCAGACATTGAGTATTCAGGAAATGCCCGAACGCGCTCCTCCTGGACAGCTTCCTCGATCAGTAGATGTCATCCTGGATGATGATCTCGTTGACCGAGCCAAGCCGGGTGACCGTGTGAGCATTGTTGGTATCTACCGTTCACTTGGTAACCGAAATGCCAATCAGACAAGCTCTACCTTCAAGACAGTTATCCTCTGTAATGAAATCAGTTTGTTAAGTACTAAGGCTGGTGGTGGTATCGCTGCACCTGTGATCACGGATAACGATATTGTTCGAATTACCGAATTGGCTCGCAAGAAGAACTCGTTTAAGTTGCTCTCTCAATCCTTGGCACCATCCATCTGGGGTCATGAATATATTAAAAAGGCGGTATTATTGATGTTGCTTGGAGGTGTTGAAAAGAACTTGGATAACGGTACACATATCAGAGGTGATATCAATGTGCTCATGGTCGGTGACCCATCGACTGCCAAATCTCAAATCTTGAGATATGTCTTAAACATTGCTCCTCTCGCTATTGCCACCACCGGTCGTGGTTCCTCTGGTGTGGGTTTAACTGCTGCTGTCACAAGCGACAAAGAAACAGGCGAAAGAAGACTGGAAGCTGGTGCCATGGTCCTGGCAGATCGTGGTGTAGTCTGTATTGATGAATTCGACAAGATGAGTGATATTGATCGTGTTGCAATTCACGAAGTAATGGAACAACAGACAGTGACTATTGCTAAGGCTGGTATTCATACCACCTTGAACGCTCGTTGCAGTGTTATTGCTGCTGCTAATCCTATTTATGGCATGTATGATCTGACAAAGGATCCTACTAGAAACATTGCTTTACCTGATTCTCTGTTGTCACGTTTCGACTTGCTGTTTATCGTGACTGACACAGTTGATGAGGTACGTGACAGACAGATTTCAGAGCATGTGTTGAGCATGCACAGATATATCAAACCCGGAACAGAAGAAGGCACTCCCATTACTGAAGCAGTTGATGATATCATTGGTGACGAACTGGGTGATTCGTTGGCTGAGGATGATGAAATATATGAAAAGTTCAATCCTGCTCTGCATGCTGGTGTATCAAAGAGAAATCAAAACAAGATTCTTAAATCAAGTTTTGTCAAAAAATATATTTACTATGTAAAGAATAGAGTGCAACCTGTGCTGACAAAGCGTGCGACCGATAGAATCATTAACGTGTACACATCATTAAGAAACGATAAGGAAGACGATTCAAATAGGAAAAAGGTAATATACATTTATACATGCATGCATAGAACAAGGACTCATTTTTATATAGACTGCTCCTATCACAGCTCGTACATTAGAAACGCTGATTCGTTTATCTACTGCACATGCCAAGGCTAGATTGAGCGAGACAGTAGATGATAGAGACGCGAAAGCAGCAGCAGAAGTATTACGATATGCCATGTTCCAAGAAGTTATCAAGCCAAAGAAGGCTAAGCGTAGAAAGATGGTGGAAAGCGATGATGAAGAATCTGACGAAGATGAAGAAGAAATTGAAGAAGAACCCACAGCTATGGAAGAAGATGTTGAGATGGAAGAAACGTAAGTGATATTGGTCATCTATCTATAACATTATCTAAACTGCTTATTTTAGACAGACAACTGTTGACGTTGATCATGAGATGGAAGGAGATGGACAAGCAGACAGTATTAAGCCTCAAAGGTGATTATTTCTCCTTTGGATACAGGATATCTCTCTCTAACCTCAACTTGTTTAAATAGATTGGCATTATTCAGAGAAAGACTTAACCATCTCTTTAATCAGCAAGCCAATGATGGCCTTGACAGTCAAACGTTTGACTCCGTATTTATGGCCATCAATAACGGACTATCATCAAGAGAAGCATTTAGCTTGACAGAAACAGAAGCAGCACTAGTAGAAATGTCAAACCAGAATCAAATCATGTACAGTGATGGTGTCATTTATCGTATCTAAGAGCATCTTTGTATACACACACATATACATATATATATATATACTTTTTTAATTGTAGACTTAAGAACAAAAGAGAGAAGCAAATAAATTGAAGCGTTTATTTTCAATCATGATCATATACATATATAAAGCATAAATAGTGTGAAATAGCTGTAATCATTGAACGCCTATGAGTGTTCTTTGAGAAAATAGCCATAATGACACCAAAAGACATCATCGTCACGATATATACGCAGTTATCCTGCTTACAAATTTTGCGTATGGCCCATACAGCACTGCCCACGGGCACTGTAATTGAACCATCAAAGCATATTTAATAGAAAATATTGACACACAATAAAATATCAGTAACACTTACACTTTGGTTGATTACCAATCTTTTTTTTATTACTTAAAAGACAGCATTTAATACACAAAAAGGACATCATCTTTTTGAGAAAGATATAAGATAAATGTGGTCAACACTCATAAATAACGCGTGGCTAGTTTACTAATCATTTCTTTATTCATTCTTTTGCTTCTGATGAGCTCTCTTATCGTTATTTGTTGTCTCTTTTGTTACCATTTGTTGTCTGAAATTATCATTTTTCTATCAGTGTGCGAATAATTTTTGAATAAAGTGTATCCCACGATGATGAGATATGCCGCCTCCACCACCTGTCTTAGGACGAAGGTTCCTCCAATGCCTTCCATCTCTTCACTCCTCTCGATATCTGTCGAGCTAATCCTCTTTCGTTCCCTCCTTACTCGGTTTTGTTCGCTTCTTTCCTTTCTTTTTGATCTCAAAAGGGTTCTAGATTCCATATGCTTTTTTTTATCTATAGTTTCAATGCGTCCACAGTGGCCCTATTTCCCTTTGTTTAAACATCATAAAAATACAATGAAAATGAAATATGTTAAGCATCACTCTAACATTTTATATTCGCGCGTGTCATGTGGGCTACTTTTTGCCGTTTTGCAAGATATTTTACATTTGCCATTGTTTGCTGTCTTATTTCAGAAAGAAAAAGTTTATTTATTGGCTATTTATCATATACACAAATGTCTTTATTAAGCATCCATTTCGTTGTTCAAAGTAAAATTATTTTTTTCATGGGTTAACAGGGCTTCGAAACACGTCTGTCACTTGCTATTACCATTTTTGGTGACGACGTTCTTTTGATTTATGCATAACTTGCTTCATTTCTTTATACAAGATTATTACTTCATATAGCAGCTATTAAAAAATAGTATTTATCTGGTCTTTACTTGCAAAAAGTCATAAGAAAAAAAATAAGCCTAGGAACGTGTGATATAAACAAAGAATGCGTGAAATTTATTGTCTTTTAATCTTTTTACTATATAGAAATAGAGATGAACGACGTCATTAAAGTATATAAATATAAGCGAATAGAAAAAGTATTAAAAAATAGGCCAAACTTTTAAAAGACATGAAATACTTTAGAAATAAACAAAAGTGTGAGCGTAAACCGTATTTATTGATAACACAGAAAGCAATAACCCCACGTAACTAAGAAAAGGGTATAAAAAGAGAAGTTTGCTCTCATCCCTTTTTTTCCCTCTTTCTTTTTTCTTTATACTTTTTTTTTCTTTTACTCTTTTTAGTCAATGTAAGTTTTTATAAAACTTATTCAGCAAGGCGATGATTGTGTGTTCAAGGATTTCTATGCAATCTCTTTCTATGATGCTCAACACGTGTCCTGGACTGACAACGGTCGTTCGTTTCATCACTCAACTGGAGGCTTTCAGGCATCCAAGAGAAAAGTTATGGGCATTCGATTGGAATCTTTACGGGAGGCTAGTAGATAGTTGGGAGCTGGTTATCAGAGATCACAGCTGTGACAGATTGTTGGTGATGCTTCTTGCTGTCTGGCTGGCGCAAAAGGGTACATAAGCTAGTTGACAATTGACAAGGCTCAGCTAATGCATGCTCCAGCGGTACACCTGCTACTGCGGGTCTTTGCAGGCTGCTTGGTATTTGATGGTCTGATGGTTTTTATGGGTGCCTGGCCCTTGTTCCGATGGTCAATGGCCGACCTGAAGAATGTCGTCACAACAGCAATCGGAGCCTTTAAAAGTCTTTTGGCATCGTTGCTGATCTTTTTTTCTTCTCTTTTAGGTTTTCTTTGCAAAACATTGGCTTTTGGGAATAATCTTTAATAGATAAATGTGTGTTTTGAAGCGACTTCTACTGTTGTCTTTATTTATATTGAAAATAAATACTCTTTCTAAAACACTTCAAGCTACTATACTGAATATATGCATAGCATCAGAGATATACCAATGCTGATGGATACAGTCACATCCTTATTACGCATCGTTGATCAATCTAGCACTGGGAAGCTCGCACGAATACAAGCTACAGTGAAATTAATGCGAATGAATTTAATGAATGCAGAACAAAAGTTTGTCAAGGCCATTTATGGTTTAAATCAGGGACTGCCCAACGAGGCTGATCCCTGCTCACGATTCATTTAGCCGTTCTTGTCTGGCCTCTTTGACGATCCTGGCCAGGGATGCTATTTACGTTGGACGAGTACTAGAATTCTTAAAGCTAGATCCCTCGTACCTTCGTGATCCCGATCGCGGCGATCGGAACGAAGCGAACAGGGCATGCGCCGCGCGTTGCCTGTTTACTTGTCGTATCTTTCATGTTCTCGATTACCTTAAAGGCCCTGTCAAGCAAGCTATAGCCAATTTCTTCGTCAGCAAAGGATATATTGATCATAGCGAATTCCTAAGCTCCACTTACTGTTCTCTCAATAGCCCTCCTTCCTGAGCTCCACTTCTCTGTTCCTTTCTTCAAGCCACAGCATTTCTACCCCAAGCCCGGAGAGTTTTTAGATATTTCTTTTATTCTTTAAACTTGCCCATTTGGGTTCAATAAATAAAAGATTGTTTAATTGTATCTCACAATGAGTTTCGTTGCCCAATAAGCTTGGATATGTGACTCTTTTTTAGCACCGGTAATTTAGCGTGGCCGGCCAGTCCCCATTCCTGCATCAATAAATTTCTTTTTACGTGTCCTTTTTCTTTCTGATAAACACAATGTCATTTCTTAAGCAATTTGGTCACTTGTCCATTCAAACACGTAACATTGGCTCCGGCAAACACCTGAACCCTACAAAGTTTACTAGCAGTAATATTTGAACTATATGTCAATACACACACGCTCACTCATTTTTTGTCCAGTTCTTGCCAATGTGCCCTTTAGACCTACTTCTCCTTGGCAAATGTTTGCAGCTGAAAAATTGAAGGGTGCAAAGAATGAAAAAATGGGCCAAAGAATGGCGGATATTTCTGCTGAATGGAAGTCCATGAATGAACAAGACAAGAAGGTAGAAAAACGAGTTATAACAATTTCATTGTCTTTGTATGTTAACTTTCTTTTCCCCCTGCATACAGAAATACTTTGATATTTATAAAGAAAAGAAGGAAAATCATGACGCAGCAATGGAAAAGGCTTTAAACAGCGCAACATCAAAACAGTTTTATGAAGAAAATCTCTTGAGAAAGAAATACAAATTGCCTCTGCTTAAGGATCCTAAGAAACCCAAGAAGCCTTTGAATGCCTATATGCTATATTTCCAAGCTAAGAAAGATGATCCTTCAGTAAACGGCTTGACAATTCAAGAAAAGACTAAAAAGATAGCTCAACAATATGCACAGTTGCCCGAATCTGAAAAGAAGCCTTTCACTGAAAAGGCCAATAAACTGCATGAAGAATACCGCAAGAAGTTGGCAGAATACAATGCATCAGCTGGTAAACCTGCAAAGGAATAAATCAAGAAATAAATAAATAAAAAAAGCCTTTCTTTTCTTTAAAAAAAATAAAATAAAAAATTATAATGAAGTATATATGAAAAGTGGATCTGAATGTCGAAAAGTTATTAACACATTTCTTAAAGTGTTGTGAAAGAGATTCAGCGAATCAATGAAAGAGAGATCAGCAATGGAAATTGGTCAGATGATGCGTCATGGCACGCACAATATAAAAACAGTGCTTGGATATTTGCAGGTGGTTTAGATTATGGATTGACAGAAGGAGACATTGTTTGCATTTTCTCACAGTAAGATAAAAGAAGAAGAAAATGACAAAATGTAGGAATAACAAACATGTTGTAGATATGGTGAAATAATGCACATCATACTTGTTCGCGATCGAAAAACTGGAAAATCAAAAGGTTATGCATTTTTGCAATATGAGGATCAGCGAAGTACAATATTAGCAGTAGACAATTTGAATGGCGCTACGGTCTTGGGTCGAACCATTCGTGTCGATCATTCTTATGGACCAAGAAAGCACAAGAAGGAAGGTGAAGAAGACTCTGAAGAAGAAGGGCCCTTGATGAATGTAGCACCAGAGTATGTCGAAGGTACTGTTTTTCTCTTTTTATTTGCGTTTGCAATAACTAAAACTTTTTTTTGGTAGTTGATGAAGCAGAGGAGAAAAAGGAAAAGAAAAAGAAAAAAAAGAAGGAAAGCAAAGGAGATGATGAAGATCCTATGGCAGAGTACTTCAGAAAGAAGAAGAAGTCCAAGAGAAAACGCTCTCGATCAACATCTTCCGACAAACGCCGCTCTCGTTCGCCATCTTATAGACGACGCTCCCCATCGCCATCATATAGCAGACGTCGCTCTCGTTCTCCACCTTATAGACGACGCTCTCCATCACCATCTCGCAGCAGAAGACGTTCTCGCTCACCATCCTATGACAGACGTCGTTCTCGTTCTCCTCGTCGTAAATAAACACATATTTGATACATTCACAAATTTATTATGCACCAGAACAGAATACAGAAAGAGTATAAAGATATAAAAAAACGCTTTATAAGAAACTGTACAAGGATACACATATATAACAATTTTTAAGCGTCATCAGAAGCCCATCCACAGATTGCCTTTTCGTCCCGTACTAGCTGCCAAGAATCCCAATAATGTAAATCTAGTTTAAGAGCAACCACACGTACAGTTTCATTTCTGCTCACGGTCTTGATACGAATATAACCTTCATCGTTATCATCATCTTCCTCGTCTGTATCCTCTGCATTTAAAGCATCCAAATCGTCATCTACAACCTTTTTCTGCTTAGACATTGAAATGTAGCTTGATCGACGACGACTCAACAGCTCCTTTTCAAAGGTATGTACTACTTCCAGGAACTGATCCAGGTCCTTCACGGGCTTATTCTGAACTTCAGTGATCCAAACACCAGGACGAAGCACGTTAGAGGCAGGTGAACCGTACAGTGTACAAGAAACGTACACGCCTGTAGGCACATTGCGAACCTGCTCGAGTACAGACTTGTAAGGCTTTTGAATAAGAGCGCCTTGCCAACCAATCACACGTGTTGTTTCAAATCCACTGAGTTCACTCATCGGTACATTGACCGTCAACTCTTGGCCGTTACGTAAGACAACCATCTCGACACTGTCATGTTCATGCACAAGTGTCATGTGCGACATACGTGTCACCAACTTACCGTTGACACTTAGGATCACATCGCCCACATGAAGCGCTTTGGCGCAGTCGCTTGTTTCATCCAAGACGTTCAAGACATAAAGCAGAGTGTGTCGCGTTGATCCACTTCTCTCAATCTCTTTCACCCACTTGTCATTTAGGCCTAGCGTACGAGCAGCTGCTATACGCATCGTCCAGAGTTCAACATCTAAGCCCTTAAAGACCATTTTGCTGCCATGTTCCAAGTATTGGTCGAGTGTACACTTGACAATGGATGAATGTAGACCCGACATAAACGAGATGTCTTTACCCTTTTCGTTCTGAGACGAGTAGCTGATCCAAAAGGCTTGTACTTTACCCTGATCATCAGTCAGCAGACCGCCTTGGGAGTTCAATGAGTCGTCAATCTTGACACCTTCCACATTCATCGCTCGCCATCGAGGAGGAGAACATTCTCGCGTGCCGATATTAGACACAGATGAGACTGTAGCCTTCTTGAGAATGATTGAATGATCATTGCCGATGCCAATAAAGTTTGTTTCGTCTCCCTGGTTTAATTCAACGTTGCTAAACTCGATAGGCTTCACAACAGTATCGCCAACTAACCTAGGGTCATACGTCAAGATGACATAATTGTAAAATGGATGCAGAAACAAAAGTTGGCCTGGGATAATAATCGAATTGGCAAAGGTAATGAAGATATCGCCCAAGCCAATGGGGACCGTATCGCGATCACACATGATCAAAGGTGGATTGACAGACAAGACAAAACCTGTACCGTAAAATTGTGTTACTTTCATACCATCTACCAGATACGGCAAGTAAAAGTCAATGGCCACAAATGAGGGCATCAGTTTCTCAGCAAGAGCAAGCGAGGGATCCAATGGAGGGAAGCTTGCAGTTGAGGGAGAGTAAGGGATGGTCTTGGGTGGTGGAGGCATGTCGGTAAATTCCCAAAGTCCGGTTTGATCTATAATGTATACAGTTATAACATGACTTTTGCATATATATGTATATACTATACCATTTCGAACAGCAATTCTAAACTTGTGCCAGTGTCTGTCAACGTGCATAATCATGACCTTATCCTTGTACGCTTTATGAAGCGCATAAAATCTATATATATATAACAAAAAGCTTTAGGAATCCCTTTCTTATTTGTATAATAATCTATACCTGATTGGAACACGGGCACCATCGGGCAAAGCCTTCATCACGTCAATAAATGCGTCCAGATTAGGGGTTGGCACATTATTGACGCTTACAATAATACTCTTACGCCATGCACTTGCACTTGCAAGCATATGGCCAGATGTAGCGACATAAACACCACCCACAGGCTGGGAGTATGACTTGGCGAGCTGGTAGGATAGTTCGTGTACAACGCCGCCGCCGATCTCGACAAACCGGTTAGGTGTAATCGAATGCAAATCCTGCACGGTTACTTTTACATCCTGAACCTTCTTGCCTCGGCTAATCGTCAGGGTGACCTCCTGGTTGACTTTCTCATCAAGAATCGAGAACAGTCCAATAAAGTGAGGTACCATTTTACCATTACATCCAACGATGATATCACCAGGGACCAAGATACCATCAGCAGGCCCCTTTGGCAAAAGCGAACGAACGACGAGCATACCTGTTTCTTCAGGGAACTTGCGTCTAAACTTTTCTTCGACACTTGCCTTGAGACCCAAGCGACGGACTTCATTATAGGGCAAATATTCAAACTCGGTTTGAAGAGTACCTCGTGGCACCTGAAGTCCTTGTTGGATGTATCCTAATGCACGCACAACCCGGTCGAGTGGAAGGTAATAGGAAGAAGATGCTTTACTGGCTCCACCTGCGTTAAGAGCGACGGCATGACCATCAATATCCAATACAGGACTACCTGACGATCCACCACTGGTTCCGGAAGCAGCTTGAAGATAGAACGTGTTGAAGTCGTTGTACTCTCCAATGCCGTACTCAGGTGCTCTTCTGTCCAATCTTGCTAATGTGCCCGCCAAAATACTCAGCTTTTCACCTGCATCATTACTACATAAACATCCCCACATAAAATGGATCGGCGACTTAATCACAAAAATCCTTTTTTCATGCATAAAAAAAAAAACGCTTACCCAACCACTCGAATATCCAATCCTACCTTGGCTCGCTCTGGACTAAGCTTGATCTCCTCCAGCTCCATAAATTTGACACGTGAGGGGTCAAACTAGGAAAAGGTCTAGGTTATTAAAGTAGAACAAACAATGAATAAGCATATTTACCTTCATGAATCCAAAATCATGAACTGGATCTCGGTAGACTGGCTGAAGATCGACTTCTTCATAGTTTGTCAAGACAGCTTGAGCAACGATAGGAGCTGGTGATACTACATGACGATTAGTGAGGATGATACCTCTCGCAGCATCGACGATAAAGCCCGTAGCGGTATAGCCACCTAAGAAGAATAAGTTTTAAAAAGCATTGCCTTAAAGACATGAAGAAGTAGTAGTTTACCTGAAGTTTCTGTGTCGAAACTTCGGACATGACTTGCCTTGATCGAGACGATTGCCTTGATGGCTCTTTCTAAGGTGGGTTCCCAAGATCTCGCCTTATAAGGAACACCTGAAGCAGTAGAGCAAGAAAAGTAGTCGACAGGTGGGCGAGGAGGCTTTGAAGTCCAAGCATAAGTACCCAAGGCAACCGATTTGGATCGTCCACGGAAGGCGGCAGAAGCGGACGGTTGCTGTTCAAATTTATTGGTTGCCTCCGACATGCTATCTCGGTGAGCGGTTAAATTGGTAGCCATTTCGTCTGCAGCGACAGGAGCTGGTGAATCGACAGGACCACGTAAAGGTGGTGTAGAAGACATGACAAGCGGATGCTGAATATCATCCATCATAAGTGAAAAAATATATAAAGAAAATGAAAAGCAGGAATTATTACGTCGGCTTGAGTGTTTATTCAACTGTGTTTGAAATTTTAGAGTATTTTTTTATAATGATTATTATCCAATCAGCTCAGATGGCTGCATTAGAACAAAAATCAAGAGTGTTATCCAATGACAAAGATAAACCCTTGTTCAAGGTCACAAGCCACATTTATAGTTTATGCGAGGCATACTATGAAAAGGGACTATACAAAACAAGAAGAAGAAGAAAAAAAAAAGTCAGATAACGATATATATAGAAACCACTCATAAACAGGACATATTCATCAATGTTGTAGACAAAGTAAATAAACAATAGATTTTTTACAACTCAAATGTAACACCGCTCAGGTACACACATACACATACACACATACGCATTATTTTTACAAGTATCTCTCACATGGTCCTCATCTGAAAGGATTACTGGTGAATGCATTAATGTAGGTATGAATAGAATGATCATTTCATCTAAAGCGGTAATGCATATACTTTTTTTTTTCTTTATTGAGTTGTCGTTGGAGACGATGATGAAGCAGTTTTATGAGTTTTAAAATGTCTTCGCATGTTACTTTGTACACTAAATTGTTTTCCACATTCTGTACATACAAATGGTTTTTCACCTGTGTGAGAGTAGATGTGAACCTGTAGTGATGATGGTCTTGTAAATTTCTTGTGACAGTAGTGGCAAATATATCTTCCTTGATTAATTGTAATTGTCGTAGATGGTTCAATTCGATCTATCAAAGGTATCATTGTATCTAGTATACTTGTCGAACTTGCTCTCTTGTGTTTATGTATTCTCGCATCCTGTTTACTCTCTGCAGTAAGAGTACTATTATTATTATTATTATTATTAGATGGCGGAGGAGGTACTTCTATCTTGAAAAAACGATTATTATTGCTTCTTTTTCTTTATTAGATGCAATAATGTTACCATTCAATAAAAATTGGATAGAAGGTAAACTTGGTTTGTCCATATTTAAATATAAAAAAAAAGATCAATAAAGAAAAAGAGAGAAAAGAATAATAAAAAAAAGTTCTAACTCAAGGAACACATCCAACACTGACTCAAAATGGAAATAACAGTCAGTCGATTGTAATGCCCTTTGCCGAATAAGTACGGCAATGCAGGCAATTTTGACTCTAAAATGCCAGGTACATGCAAACATTATCATATCATGTATATTTATGAATTAATATCCTTTTTTTAAATCTTGAAATTCATTGTTCCTTCTATTTAAATATTTGCTGATCATGAAGCGAGTGAATATAATTAGAATATTTAAAACTGGTTATGAGCAGCAGCATCCGTCAATTAAGGATCATTAAGACATAATCGGTTAATAAATCATGGTTAAAGGAACTCAGTTTAATCTCGATACAGAATCTTTAAGCATTATTACTATTATTCTATTGGATATCAGGATGATCCCCTCTTGCCTATAAATGTAAAATAATACAACAATGATCGTTCATTATGACATAGACACCCTTTTTTTTGTCTTTAAATAGGCAAAAACTTCTTTTAAAACAGTTTTTATATATTTTGATTTTGTATAGCATATAAAATAGAACAATGTGGTTTGGAAGTAAATCAACCGATTATTATATGAACAACAGAGACACTTATTACCCTCCAGAATCACAAGGAGGATTTGGTTCACTATTCCGTCGTAAGAGTATAAGTGCATCTGGAAGAAATGGCTATCGATATTCTGATGATACACGACGTCGACGCAACTCACTACCAACACATCAATATGACACCCGATACTATGCTGGTTTACCACCTGGTAATGGTCTCAGCAGTTTCACAAAGCCCTTTCATGATCTAGACTACTATCAGCAACAAGGACACACATTTCTACCTCACCCCCCTCGACCTATGGTGCATAATCATAACCCATTTCCTCACTATGGAGGAAATGTAGGTAATTATCATGGACATCACCATCATGAACACTATGGTTATCCTCGAGAACAACAATATATTCATCGTAATGTAACCGTAGATTCAGGTTATTACCCTTATGCATCAGGCTATGTAGAACGTCCTGTTCGTAAAGTAGTGAAAAAGATATTTTAACAATAAACTTCCTGCTGCGTAATGGATTAAAGCTGGTTTTAACTGTTGAGTTCAAATAATTTCTCTTTTTTTTTTCCTCCAAAGTATGTCATCTCGAGCTCTTAGGCGACTTCAAAAGGAACAATTGCTGATTCCAAAGCATGACAGTGACGAAGAAGGAGAAGAAGAAGAAGTTGTAGAGACAACATCTAGGAAGCAGTTGAATCCTTTTGATTTGGTAGGTTACAGTATAGATCGTGTGATATACTGTACTTAACTGCGGCGTAGCTGAATGAAGGCGATGACGAAGAAGAAGAAGAGGAAGAAGAAGAACAACAACAAGAGGAATATAAGCTTCCAGAGAAACCAGTGCATAAAGAAAGCACACCTAGTGCTCCAAAGGTAAAAAGATTGGAAAGAACAACAGCTGTCAACTAACTTGGATATATATAGTCATCTAGCAAAAACAGCAAAAAGAAGAAGAAAAATAAAAAGAATAAAAAGACCAATGACACAGCATCGAATCAGAAAGGCAAAGAGGTGGAAGATATTAGCATGCGTGAATTGGAAAAAGTAATAAAGGAAATGAACAAAAAGTAAGGGCATACACACATACACACGCGAAAATACGTGTTAATTTATATCAACAGATCACCTGGTAGCGCAAGTCCTCATCAAGACACTCATATCGACATCTATCGTCAACTGTTATCCATCAACACACGATTTCTGGATGCTGAAGCCGAGATGAAGCGATTGTTTGGCTCACACGTTGTCAATAGCGAACACAGAGGACGTGTACTTAAAAAATCAAAGTTTACAACACCCAAACCTGAATGGCCGCCTTATAAGCGTAACGGCCTTTCGATGGAGATTGTTGAGACAGTGAACGGAGTGACTTATTTTGCATTTAGACACTCGGAGGCATATCAAGACAACCAGCTCGAATTTTTGAATGCAGTGGCTACTCATAATCCAGAAGCACTGATTTTCTTGGTTCGAAGACACCCTTATCATGTTGATACGCTACTTCAATTATCAGAGATTGCCAAACATAGTGGCGATTGGGTTGCAGCAGGAGACTTTATTGAAAGGGCATTATATGCTTGTGAGCGAGCACTTCATCCTCAGTTCGCGCTTGGTTCTGGCACCGTCAGACTGTCTTATCAACGATCAGAGAACAGGTATAGATACATCTTGATGGAATCATTGATAATGAAGCTAAGTCTATAATAATAGATCGTTCTTCTTGGCCATTTTTCGACATATTCAGTTCTTGGCACGTCGTGGTTGCTGGCGAACAGCATTTGAATTTAACAAGTTATTGTTTGCACTTGATCCTGAGCACGATCCTCTCGCTTCTTTGCTGACACTTGATCACTACGCCTTGATAGCCAAGGACTACGAGTATGTGCTAAAGATGTATCGCGAATGGAAGAACCGTAGAGAGTTATATCCAATTAACCTGTCCAATATGCCAAATTTTGCATTTTCGGCTGCCTATGCACAATTTAAACTGTCCAATGAAGACAGTCATGAACTGATACAGCATGCAATCGCCAAGTTCCCGACTACATATCAATTATTATTAGAAAAGCTGGATAAAGGAAACGAAGCGGACAAGGGACGAAGTTCAATGTTTTTGAACGCGTTACAAACGATCTATGCTGAACGTGCCTACGAGCTATTTAAAGAACCTGAGGTATTAGAATGGTTAGTGAACAGTAACCAAAAACGAACAGAGACAGAGTACAAGTTTTCAGAAAAAGATATCAAGTGTGATGCTAATCAAGAGTTGCCCATTAACATTGCTCGATTTTTACTATTGGACAATAATCAAAGACTCTTGTCACTTGTTCCACACAAATATACAAGTCAGAGCTATCAGATGCACGATCCTTTACCACCTGAGGACTCTGTTACGATGTATGATATTAATGAACGTATGAGAAGCAGCGGAAATAGATTCATGAGCCCGTTCCCAACGGACGCTAGAGGTCTAATGAATGCTTTGCAAGAAATGTGGAGACAAGGACAAGGAAGATTGCCACCTGAAGCTTTACAGCAGGTTAGACAATTGATGAATGAACTGGGGCAAATAGAACAACAACAAGGTGATCAATTGCCTGGTACCTTTCCAGAAGATAATGATCAAGATAATGAAGAAGAAGAAGAGGAGGAGGAAGAGGAAGAAGACAGTGACTTACGACAACTTGAAAATGAAATGTAAATCATTGTATGATAATTGTAAATCTTGTATTAACTATGGATATAGGCTTAATGACAATGGAATAACACCTGAAGAAATGGCTGGAATTATGAATGCAGTAAGTGATGATGATTTAGAAGTACAAAGAGCTCTAGCAGAGACGTATCGTCAAAGAAGACAACATGATTAGATTTCGAAAACGCTGTACCTTTGTTAATAAATAGATTGGAAATTACAGTTTTATCATTTCTACCTCATATCGTATATTGGTCATAAAATTTGGAAGCAGCTTGACCCAAACCAAAGTTTGACCTTCATCTTATTCTGTTGACTTTTTTCTTTTCGATCATTCTGAGACTACGTTAGTATCTTCTGACTTTATATCTATTGTGTCTTACTTCTTTAAGCGTTATCATCTACTAAGGCTTGATACTTGTTATGAAACCTCAGAGAAGCAGCAAGGATCGCTTCATTTTAAAATCAATAGTGTTTGGCATAGTTTTGGTGCCCCTGTAGACTCTAAAACAACAAAGGTCCTCTGGAATTTACTCAAAACGATATGAGCCTGATCTGGAGAAGAACGATGATAAATATGTTAAATAAAGAAATGTAAACAATAGATGAGTTTCTTCATTCAGCTGATAGTTCTATTGTACAACTAAGTGTCCAAACCCTGCAAGCTTTCATCTTTATCGTTGCTAGAATATGTCTCAAACTGTGTGACAAACATTCAATTGTCTTCGAAGCAGGTGATTAATCCTGACAAATTTGAAGCAATGTTTTTAATTGCAATATCCGCATCATCTTTTATACGAATTAATGCCAGGTTCAAATCATTCAAGGAATTTTTTTGATAAGCACTGTTGATAATACTTTGCTTAATCAATGCTTCTGAAATACCGTTATCAGGTTCACTACTGGTACTATTTGCTTCAGAGTAATACTCTTTTAGACTTTAAGACATCACGCAATGGTGACAGCGTTCTTCTTTTGCCTCTAAAATATAAGAATACGGCAACATGGAATAGGACCTTTTATAGCCATTTATGAACAAAGAAAGAGATTCCTGAGAGAAAAAGAAATTGATCATCATATGCAAGAATAAATGTTGTCAGCCATGTTCATGACTGCTGTGAAATAGTGCTTTGGGTTTAGTATGAGGGAAATAAAGAGATGTCGGACATTGAAGTATGTGCTTGCTTTTTTTTTCTAGCCCTGGGGGCTTTTTTATATTTTTCTTTCTTTGGAGAAGGAAACATGTCAACATCAGCTGCTAAACTTGTAAAGCACTTTATTGCCAAGAATGGACCCATGTCCAACCAAAGTTTATTTAAACTGGTGCCTCAGTATGAAAAAGACTTGATTTCAAAATCACACTTGAAGAAGAAAGTTTTACAAAATTTAGAAGGACAAGGCATCTTGATTAAAAAAGTGAACCACCAAGCTGGATCTAAGCCTATTTGGGAATGGCACTTTAGAAATGCAGAGGATATCGAGAAATACAAAAACTTGTAAAATGTTTGATATATTTATATATTTTATTTGTACAGTAAAAAAGAAATAAAAAAAGCAGCATTGAATTATAAAAGTCGAAGTGTACAGCTTAAGCCATAATGGTCTATTATCAATAAGGGATGAGTTTATATGTAGATTATAATGGATTTATGCTTACCTGAGATTTGTGTAAAACCTGTGCTCGTCTTTTCTTCTTTACTCATCTCGGGATTATTCTTGACCCAAAACTTTTCGACTTGTGGCTCGACAGGAGTGATGATCTGGGTCGTGTTCCTGGCTGCCCAAAAAATACGATCGATACTCTGAACAGTCATCAGTTGATCCCAATTCGTCAAAACAGTTTCGGCTGGTACAAGCTCGCCAAGGTCATTGGCCATGTAATCACCAAAAGTCACGGGATGATAACCATAGTGTTGATACACAATGTCCCGTAGATCCTGAAACTTTAGCATATTGACCATTTGAACATACTCTGGGGAACTTTCTTTAGATCTGACCGTAATTGGCCTTTGTTTGGGATGAATGGCTGCATCCACATTTAAATCGCCAGCAATTAAAACAGGATGTTGATCAGCGTTTGACGTTTCCTGAATAAAGGAACGCAGGATAGCAAATTGAGACAAACGCATGGCTGTGTCGTCTGGGTTGATGTTATTATTTAGATCGTAGGAGGCTTGTGTATGTGTTGTGTATACATGTACTCGACTCTTGGGGTTCAATTCAATCAAGGCATGCACTGCGCCCTTGACGGAGAACCAATCGGCATGCTGTCCTCTTGGGTATTCAATGGTATGAGACTCTAGAATGGGAAACCTGGAAAGAAGTAAGAGACCACCGTCTATACCAAAGTCCCAGGGGTATTTACGAGGGGATTCAACATGATAATTGAAGCCCATCCGCCGTGCTTCTATAATCAGTCTGTCTTTCCTTCTTGATGCAAATGCAAATGACTCTTGAAAGGCAACGATGTCATAATGAGGAAGGATATACTTTTCGATATAAGCTAGTCGATCATCTTTGTAATCTGACCAGTTGTTTCGAATTAAGGGTGGACGCATAAATATGTTGAGGGTTAAGAATCTTGCAGTCGTCTCTGCAACCTTATCAGGCACGACAGGAGGAGGTAATGGAGCTGGAGAGAAAAAGAGCGAGCAGAACAAGAGGAAGCTGAAAAGAATGATGGCAAAAAATGAGACACAAAGTAACAAAGGTCGATAACGAGCAATCAGTGGTGGAAGTGTCCATTTTGGAATTCTATCTCTAACATTATAATAATAGGTCCAATAAAAAGGAATGGTGTCATCCCCTCCATTCGCTGTGGTTGCCGTAGCAGTGGTTGTTGTCGTAGTGATAGGGCGTAATAGTGAGTGACTTTGTTGAATGGGTAACGTCGGCAAATAAATTGCTTGATGGGTATTAAAGCGAGGTATCTGACGTATGTAATTGAAAAAGCGTCCCCAAACAGTTTTGGCAGGAGGATAGAGCTCATAAGGGGGTGGAGCTGATTGCGTGCTTATCACACTTGATTCATATGAGTTATTTGATTGTAATCTTGTTCTTGGTCTATGTTGGCTATCATCATTGTTATTATCGTCATCATCCGAATAAGAAGGTTCATCGTGATAAGGTTCATTAGGAATAGCGACTTCCTCATCATGTATTTCCCTTGATATCGACTCTGAACTCATATCTAAGAATAAAAGAAAAGAAAAAGGAAAAGAAAAGAAAAAAAAGAGGGAAAAAAAAAGTAGACAAAAATAGCTTAGCAAAGCAGCAAACGCAGAGACAGTAGAGGGAAAAATATTGCCTTTTAGGGATAAAACCATTAAAAAACTCAGCATTTGATACGCATCAAAACCTATAAGCGCCCCAATAAATGCACCAACACAGCATAGTAGCAACCTTTAAATCGCTCCACAAACACCTTTGATTTATAAACTAGATTTTTCTTTGGGACAGGATAATATAGAGTACAAGTGTAATTCAGTACACTTAGATGTGAGCTGACATGATATAAATAATATAAATCAGCAGAATAACCTGTAGGTTAATGTATTAGATTTGCAATGGGAGACTAACAAACATTAATATGCTATGTAGAGCAACACATAGAAAGAGCTTGGAAATAATGTAATTTTAACATCTTTAAAAACATCCTTGTAAATTAAGAGGGTATTGTCAAATTGTATTATATCAGTCAACACCAATGCCTTTTTATAGTATTTGGAAGAAGCTAAAGCTAGGGCAATTAAGAAATCTCTATATTTTCGACTTCTTTTTCAAGACAAGCATCAGAGTTATCTTGGATATATTCTAGTAAACATATCTCTGATTTTTTTCTCTTGTATAATTTATTTGCTCTGTATTTATTTTCATTACAAGATAAAAATATTTGTTTTTATTGTCAGATTTTAGGTTGTACAATTTCGATCATTAAAGTATGATTATATGATACAGTAATATAAAAAGCTCTTTTTTGATCCTTTATCTTCTTTTCGTTCGAATTTGTGCGAATGGCTTACAAACTTCTCTACCAGCAATCGACGACATGGATACAACTCGCAGCATTCATTGGAACGACGATGGCAACTCAACTGGGCAACATTCAGGCACGTTTTCGCACCAGACACCTACTGCAGCAGCTCAACAGATACTGACAATATGCAACACCACCTTCAACAATACAGAATTATCCTTGTCCTATCACTCCAGCAATGAAACAAGAACTCACCTGGTGGATTTCACAACTTCAGCAATGGAACGGTCGGCATATCCTTCAGCACACACCCGTCACTCAAGTGTTCACGGATGCGTCAGACACGGGCTGGGGCGTAGTTTGTGGCAATCGTCGCTTTTCTGGTCTCTGGTCCCTTCACGAATGCCGTTTCCATATCAATTACAAGGAGCTCCTAGTTGTGGACAAAGCCCTACGACAGGTGCCACTTTCACACTCAGGACATATCCAGTTTTGTATGGACAACACATCTGCCATGGCATGTATCAACAAATTCGGCGGTACCCGCTCCTCCAGCCTGAGCACTTTGGCAATGAACATATGGCATTTCTGTTTTGGGAACTCCATACAACTATCGACACTATACGTTCCATCCCGCTACAGCCCCGCCGACATTCCTTCTCGTCAGCTTGCGCACCAGACAGAATGGACACTGCCCCGGAAGACATTTCTTTGGGTGGACCGTCTATGGGGTCCCCATCACTTGAACTTATTCGCAAATCCATAGAATGCACAGATTCCGACGGCCTTTGTGTCCTGGAATTACCACCCCCAAGCGCTATGGACCAATGCCTTTTCTCGGAACTGGACCACTTTATTCGGTCGACTATATCTTCCCCCATGGAATCTAGTCCTGTTCGCATTACAGAAGTTAACTCAGCGTCCTCAACCCGCAACATTGATCACACCCAACTGGCTCTCAGCTCCTTGGTTTCCTCTGGCTCTCCGTCTGACGCAACAGCCCCCTCTTCTTCTTCTCTAAGAAGGTCTGGTAAGCGAAGACAATCATCATCTCATCAAGAAGAATCCCCGTTGGACAATGCTAACGTGGAACATATCACAAGGCGCCTGAAACACTCCTCTTTGTCGTCGTCCGCTTTAGCCATCATTTCTTTCACAGCATCCTCTACCCGACAACAGTACCACTTTAGGTAGCAGAACTACACTACGTGGTGTTTTGCACGCCAATTCAATTATCATGACCCGTCCCCGCAGCAAATCATCAACTACTTAACAGATCTTCACACCACTCACTGTCTCAAGCTCTCCACGCTCGCCACCTATAGCAATTCAATTCTGGCTATATTCTCCGCCAAGGATCAGCAAGCTATCAAACACTCCGAAACTTATGTGGCCTTCCTTAAAGCACTCAAGGCTAAAACCACCTTGCCTCCTCGACACTGGTCGTACGACGTTGCTCCCACTATCAGTTACATCATTTCCTTAGGTTCTACCAACGATCTCTCAGACGATCTCCTCATAGCCAAAACGGCTTGGCTCTTGGCGATGGTTGGGTTTCTCCGTCCGTCTGACTTGGCAAGAGTGGATCAGGACAAATGCTCTATTTCTAAGGATAAGGCCTTGCACTTGTGTGTCGTGGGTCCAAAAGAAGCACGACAAGGATCCCGCGTTACCAAAATAATCACCATTCACCCGCATCCGGATCCTCTTCTTTGCCTGTCACAGCCTGCTCGGTTTATGTCTCTCGGATTGCTTCGATAACATGCTACGTAGCTCGCTCAGCCTCCCCTTCAATCAACATACATTGCCTTTTCTGCTCTTTAGCCGATCATTCACAGCCAATCGGGCCCGAACGAAACTTCAAGCACATCCGCCGAATCATGACCCATGTGGGCAAACCAGACGATGCTCCGGTTCCCAAGGCCAGGGCCTTAGGCGCTACACTAGCCGCTCAAGCAGGCATCGCAGTGGACGACACAGTGGTGCACGGTAACTGGTCTTCCAAGGCCACATTCGAACAGTTTTACCGTATTTCTTCAATGACGAACAACAATCTCACGCTGGCTACTCTGGATCAACAACCAAGATCACAAAGCTCGAAGGGTAATTATGATGATACTTCATAAATTCGTATACTACATCAAAAAATCACAAAAACTGTTTATTTAAACTTTCTATTATAATGGCATCGTAGACTCACGTTGGTATTGTATTGCTTAACTGATTCTATATTTTCAAGATGTCCTTGTTTGAAGCATTTCTTCCAACTGATCCTATTTGTTTTGATACTTTTGAAACTGGACTTAAATTGACCAATAAAGCTTTTTTTATTTATTCTATTCCAACTAATACGCTTATTGAAGAAAAACAAACGCTTTTTGGATTTTGTAAATCCGCCAATTGGAATTCAGGCATACGCTAATTGAATTTTATTAGTGCGCTGATTGACTTTTCAAAAACTGCCAATTGGGACCGTAAGCACTGTAATGTAAGTGTTGTCATGTACTAGGTATAGATGTGTTACATCTACCATTGGAAAGATGCAATACCCTGTCTATTACATATCGTATATTTAATAAATACTGAACCCATCAACAATCATTGAACAACCTGCTTTGTTTTAAGGGAAAAGAAAAAAAGCGTATACTTGATCTGAAATTGACAAAACTTGTACGACATTCTCTCTTTCTTGGAAATTCGACTCTTTTAATTTGTCAAGTAATAACGAATTGATTTTTGTTGCCATAGCAGAGAGGCAAATAAACAACACCTTAGCTTCTTTCACTGAGATTTAATCCTTTTTTATTATTTTTTTTCGCGACGTCTTTTTGTAAAAAAAAATGACTACTTTTTTTCTTGCTTTTCTCCCCCCTTTTTTTCCTTTTTTTTCTTTAAGCTCATTTTGTCACTTTGGCAATCGATTTCATGGTCGAAAATAAAAACGTTCTAGTACAAGAAAAAGGACTTAAGGATGAGAATGCTGCACCTAAAAAGCCATTATTGAGTAAACCTAATACACGGCGAGAGAATCAGTCACAACAGCAACTCGAAGAAGAACTTAAGGCGAGGATGATAAAGAGAAGACAAAGAGAAAAGAGGCTGCGAGAGCAAGCAGCAAAAGATGATAAAGATGGCTGTGAAAAGTATGAAAAGCTAAGCAAGATCGGTGAAGGAACGTACGGTGTTGTGTTTAAAGCAATGGATAAAAAAACAAAACAATTAGTGGCACTGAAAAAGATTAGACTTAATTTGATGGAAGGTGTACCAACAACAACGATCCGAGAAATATCCATTTTGAAAGAACTGAAGCATAAAAATGTTGTTAGGTAAAGATGAATGAACAGGGTTTATCTAAAGACATCTCATTTGTTGTTAGTTTACTTGATTTGGAGCAAAAGGATACCTTGATCTACATTGCGTTTGAGTTCTTTGAGCTGGTAAATATAAAAATCATTATTCACTATTTCATTATTTACGTTTATTGTTAGGATTTGAGAAAATACATGGACAATGTGAAAAGAGAAGGTCTTAGTATTGGCCATATTAGAGTAAGCCTTACTTGATGACAATGAAATATGCATCTTACGACTTTCAATTATTAGAGCTTCATGCATCAACTATTAAAAGGACTTCATTATTGCCATTCACATCGCATACTTCATCGTGATCTGAAGCCACAGAATCTATTGATTGACAAAACCGGCCGACTTACTATCGCTGATCTCGGTCTCTCTCGTGCCTTTGGTGTGCCTATGCGAACATATACTCATCAAGTAAGCTCAACTGTAGATTGCTGCAGCGCCACGTTTTATTGACCAACTTTAGGTGATCACCCTATGGTACAGAGCTCCCGAAATACTGCTGGGTAGCCCACACTATTCTACAGCTGTAGATATGTGGAGTGTGGGTTGCATATTTGCTGAAATGTTGACGATGCAGCCTCTGTTTCCTGGTGATTCACAGATAGATCAATTATTTAAAATATTTAGAGCACTTGGTACACCTACGGAAGAAATGTGGCCAGGTGTAACAGCATTGCCTGACTTCAATAATAACTTTCCACGTAAGTTAGAATAATCCTCTTTTATACGGATTGAATAACATCCAAGTCTAGCATGGAAACCATCAAATTTAAAAGAAAGATTAAAAAAATATCCCAACAATTTGCCAGCAGAAGATTCAGCATACCATTTACTAAAGGTAAATTACAGCATATAAGCGATTGACAAGAGAGATCATTTATACTGACTACAAACAGTGTTTCTTAACATATGACCCAGCCTCTCGTATATCAGCCATTAGAGCAGAGGAACACCCGTTCTTTTTTGAAGATTTGTCACTATTAGATATTTAACATCTACACACTTGTCTCCACTTCATAAACAATACATGTTGTAAATAAACTGCATACCATGAAACCTTTGTATGATCAATTTAATTACATATTACTATTGTGTGCACCTGCTTAAGGAGATGTACGCCCCATTAACATTCATGCGTACTCTGAATCTGAGGATATCTTATAGTAACCCCCCAGGAGCATTGATCTGCGTGCTTAAAAGGCAAGACTATGTAGCACTAGAATGCCAATAATAGTAACTTACGCAAATATTGACAATAGTAAGCTGGTCAAAAGAGAATAAGCAACCAAGGAAACACGATAAACGGGGTTCACTGGAGACATATTTTCAGGTTGACAGATAAACACGAATCAATGCAGAATAACATGACCTAAACCTACAACATTAGAATACGAATACCAAATCATAAGCTACACAACTTTGATTATTTATATACAATTCGAAATATAGTCTTTATTTTGTATACAAAAGAAAGAAATGCCAAAAAAAAGAGAGAAAGGTATCCAAGATGCACGCATTTTGTTTCAAACAAAAGAAATTATGAAGGAAAGAAAAAAGAAAAAAGAAAAGGATTAGTTCAAGTCCATTTGTTCAACAGCAGGTTTAGCTTGTTGAGAAGAACCTGAAACAACAGCGAGTCGATTTAACCAAAGCTCAGCACGCTCGATGGTATCTGAAAAGACGTGAGCTACAGATTGGATCATCTCGAGTGATTCGCCACTAAAGTTAAGTAATTTGATAGACGTTTCGTGAAGACCTACGTCACTTGGCTTAAGTGCAGGTGATGCTACAGGTGATGCTGCCTTTGAATTGAGCATGGCCCATCGAGAAGGAAGAGCCAAGATGAAGCTTCGGACGGCAGCTTTGGCTTGCTCTGGTAAACCTGTGCCAGCATATTTTGAAATGACATCGACTACTTTACGAAGTGTATCTACAATTTCTTTCTTGATTCTGGGTAAAGGAGATTCTTGAGCTACAACGACGGCTTTATCTTGTGATGATTTTGCTATTGAAACCAAATATTTGCGAATCAAATTCATTTGTTGCTCGATATGTTGTGAAGCGTACTATATTAAAAAAAAAGTATAAGCCAAAGAAGGATAAGAAGCACGGGTTTCACTTTTTTACCTGAAGCCAGCTTAAACAGTATCTGAGGCATTTCATACTCTCTTCACTGATCACAGCTGCCGTTGTTCCTGCAGCAGAGGAGGCATGCAAAACGATTTGATGCCATTTACTACGAGGAGCAATAGGACGGTGACGAGCATTTGGTTTTGGATAGGGCTTATGAGGAGAAGTTGATCGAGACGAAGTTCTTGATCGGTTTGTATTTTTTAATGTGACTAAATGTATGAAATGAGTATAAAGGTTACGTAGCGTTTCTTTTTTTTCTACATCTTACATTCTTCTTTGGAATCTCTTCGTTTTCTTAATCCTGATGCAGTTGATTCATGATCGTCTAATAGAGAAGTACGAGCTAATGCGCTAACAGTAGAATTGGCGTCATCTTCGTCTTGTTCATCCTCGTCTGTCTCTTTACTTTTAGACAAATAGGGGTACTTTTCTTCCAACTATGTAAATAAAGGTTCATTAGAATCAGGTATCTATTGTATATTTGAATGCTTTCTCTTACTTTATCAAGCTGTTTACATCCCCACTCATCTACGTTCGACAGAACTGGTTTACCTAACTTGTCATAAATAGGGCCAGCAAATGACTCGACCATTTCAGCACCATACTTTACAACTGAACTAGAATTCTTTGAATGTTCATAGACCCTGATAGCTGAATTAACAATGGGAATATTGGATACACGATAAATAAATCGACTCTGTTGTGGTTCATCTAATGTTGAGGAAGAGAAAGATAGACGTTGAATGGATGAAGAGGTTGGTGTGGGTAAAGGAGAACTAGGTGTAGTCGAGGGCGTTGATAGAGGAGGTAGAGTCATATGAACTAATAAAGATGGATGAGTAACCCATATGTTATGTATATTTTTGGAAATACGCACCCTTGGATCTTGCCATATCTCCTAGTGCTTCAACCGCCATTTTAACATCAGGGTCCATATCATCCGGTGTATTCACAAGTTGATCAATAGACATGGCTGAGTGCTGCTGCTGCTGTGATTGTGGCTGTTGTTGTTGGCTCATGTTTTGAAAGAAAAAAAAATAAAGAGAAAAAAGAGAAAAAGGAGGAGAATGAATTGAATTGTTTAATATTAAAACCATGTGAAACCCTTCATATTCACGTGTTAATAAGTTTTAAAGCAATCATCGAAAAAGAAACCAAGATAACAGCTTATCACTCTATCTAAAGAGCAAGAACAATATAGAGTATAAAGAACGTTTCTATGGTTACTGTAGCTGAATAACCATTACCATGGTAAATGATAAAATTGAAGAAATTGGAAAAGTTGAATAGTTGCTTGTGTGAAATAATACCAAAAATTTACCCCAACGATTTTTTTCCTTTTCTCTCTCTTTTTGTTTCATGCCTAAGAACTGTAAGTATCAGCACTTTTGTAAAGCAACGTACTAAGTCATGTCAATAGATTATTGTGATTTCTGTCATTGTACTTTTCCTGATAGTAAAGTAAATAGAACTAATCATATCCAAGGCAGAACTCATGTCAATAACAGAAGGTTACATTATGATTGGTTTAATGGTAAATATCACACGGCTCCCCTTTCTTTATTTATTTAACATAAAGTTTATAGATCCGCGGGCATTCATCCAAGAACAATTGAACAAGCCTCCTTGCAAATATTATTTAAACCATGGCTATTGTGAGTATGGCTTACTATGCAAATACAGCCATATACAAATTGATCCGTATACAGGTATAGTAATAGCATTCATTGTTATTAAATGACACTCATGCGTCTATCAGGACAATACAAGTTTCCAAAGGAGATACTCTATTTTCAATCACTAGCATCTCAACCAACCATCGTTAAGAACAAAAGATATAAGCTACCTCCAGGCTGGAAGTTGAAGGATTTGCCTCCTTCCTTAAAGCCTCCTATCAAGGACCAAAACTATCACTGGGATCATACTGCCCAATGGGGTTGAATAATTTTTTATTTGCGCCCTATCTCTTCTTTTACTTTCCCCTTTTCTACTAATTATGTTACGCTGCATTTCAAAGTCATTTCATTTCAATAAAGCATTCAAGTTTCATACCACTGCATATCGATCACAAAACTACTTTGATACATTCAAGTTTGTTGAACGACTGGAACAGGCTGGATTCACAAGAGACCAGAGTGAAGTCATTATGACTTGTTTACAAAAGGTCATAAACGAAAGCATGACAGACATCACCAAGGTTATGGTATCCAAAGCAGATAGAGAAAAGGCAATTTATGCCTATAAAGTAGACTTTGCCAAGCTGAAATCTGAAGTCCAGCTGATTGAACGAAACGACTTTACAATGATGAAGGCAGAGAACGATCGACTCGAAGGCGAAATAGAAAAACTAAAACAGAAACTAAAGGATGAGATTGCTCGTACTCAGGCCAGCGTCCGGCTTGATCTCAACTTGGAAAGGGGACGTATTAGAGATGAAGCAAGTGCGCAAGAGATCAAGATTAAAGAAACAGATACTCGTATTGAAAGTGAAATATCCAATCTAAGAACTCAAATGGAGGCCATCAAATTCCAAATTATGCAATACATGATTGGTACCATGACAGGTGCTGGTGCTCTCATCTTGGCTTACTTGAGAATGTTTAAATAAAATTGTATTTATTTATGCGTATGTGTGTATAAATGTAATGTTTATCGTCCATATTTTTGCCAATCCCATTCACGATTATCCAATGGACAGACCTGTCGACTTTTTAACCAACGCGATATGCAATGAAAGTGAAAAGCGTGCTAAAAGAGGAGCCATCAGTGTCTGTATGTTTGATATAAAAAAAATGTATACAACTTACATTACAAATACCCCATGCAACTGTGCATTCTTCAGAAGTAGCCGATGCTTGATTCGCTTGGCATTCGATACCTGTGTTAATGTGTAATTAGTTTAATGTTGTTACAAGTACTATACGCATTACATAAATCCATAATATGGTTTCTACAGATGGCACAGTTATCGACAACAATATCTGCAATGCTTTCAGTATGGTCACATAATCATGCACTATTTTAATTTTTTACCCCAAGCCCACAATGCTACTGCATTCCACTAAAGAATATGTAATCAGTTCACGCAGCAAAGATAAAGAAAGTATAGTTGATTTTTTACCTTTTTAACTTCAAAACGTGGCTTTTCTCCTGATTCTTTTGTCTTTCCTTTTACATCATCAACAGGAGGGTCAATGTCCATTGGTGTTGCTGACATGTTCAAGATTGGTTTTAAAAAAAAGAAAAAAGGAAGAGGAGAAAAAAGAAAAACAGAAAAAGGGCCGTGTATGTCATCAAGCGTATTATTTTAAACACAGACAAGACGCAAAATGGTTCCATGGTAAATTAAATATTTATGCATAAATATCTCCCTCACATCTATTTTCTTCTTTTTCTTTCCTTTTAAAAAAGCTACTATGGAATCAGTCATCAAGACTCACGTTCAAGATATACCAAACGAGTTCTACCCTCATTCATTATTTATTGATAAAGATCAACTGGTTGTGATCATTAAGCACTGCAAAATCATTCGGCGGTCCTCTTTTGAAGCAGTGGATCTGATGGAAACCATTCCAGAAGAAAAGGACGATAAAAGAGCCTCTATATATTAATAAACTTATTTATTTTCTCCCTCTTGAATTTCATATCCTTGTTCTGCCATCCATAAAGATACAATTCGCATACATGCTTGAGCAACCATGTCTTGATCCAAGTCTTCTGGACGTTCCGCCATACCTTGTTTAAACCGTAAGAGCTCCATAACGACCTCCATGACTTCCGAAAGGGTTTTACGAATCTTTAATAACATCTCCACATCCATACCGTGAAATTGCTCATCTTCTTGGCTTGAAAGGAACTCAATAGCACTCTCGAGTATATTAAAGTATTCTGGCAGCATTCTTTCCTGCCTTTGCTGTCGTGTGACGTTGATGATTTTCTTTTCTTCATTATGTTCGCGGAGTGCGTGGTCGTTGATATCATCCAACATGATCTTGGCTTCAATGGCCACAAGATGAACAAGTAACGCAGGAAAATTGGCTTTTTGATACGCCTCGTCTGTCTTTTTGTCACCTGCAGGTGCCTTTTCCTTTTTACGACTAGCCGATCTGGTATGTAGGAGTGAACCAAATAGCCACTGGTTGCCAAATAGACGCAGGGAGCAACCAATTAATATAATTGCCTTGTCTCGTAGCTCGTCATCTGTAAATGATCAATACAATGTTATCTCTCTCTCTTTAATCACCTACTTGTTTTGCTTGTCAGAATCTGACGTAAACCTCCGAGTAAATGATCCAACCATACCGACAGTCTGTTGTCACTCTTGAGTTGCTTCAAACTTTCTGCGGGCATTTCTGGTAAGATGAAGCTTAATAAATTGAGGGACTCAAACTTTACTAATTTTTGATCTTGATCCAGGGTCTTGCAGAGAATCGGAAAGAGTGTGCACAATGAATATTCAAGAGCTTGGTTGATACTAGGGGCTGATATCCTTGCAGATCGTGTATAGACTGATATCAACAACTGAGAGGCAAGCTCTCGAGGCTCTTTCTGATTACTTCCTAGGACAACCTCAAGAATATTTTTGACAACGTCTGTATCCAGCATTCTTACGAGACCATGCTTTTCTGTAGACACGCATAATAAAATATGCAGTATTTCCTTTGACAGATCGTCACTAATAAAGTTAGAAAGTATTCACATGCATTAGTGTATATGCTTACTCTGGTTTCAGCAGACGTGACAGTCCAGCTATACGGTCGATCATATTTTTATCTTGAGCAAGTGCCTCATAGCGAGAAAAGCAAGCGAGAATATTGACAGCAATTTCTTTAAGTAGCTGATCGGGTACCTCTGCGTCCACTGAATGATCTATAACGAATGAATAAGACATGGTAAACTATGGTTCTTTTTTTATTTTTGTTACTTGTTCTAAGCAATCGTTCAATGAACCCAAAGTTCATTCCTTTAAATGCTCTCTCTATTGTTTCAGCATCTGTTTGATCTAGCAATTTCGGCAACATGAACATAGCAACAAACTTGCTTTCGTCTGAAGCAGAAGGTGCCATCATGGCGAGACAACGATCTATTTCTGCATTTCTATCACGATCTGAACTTGACACATTCATTTTATATACAGCAAGAAAAAAAAAAAAGGGAGCTTTATTTTCTAACATAAAATATTTTGTAAACTCATATGCTTTGATTCTTCTGGTGATGAATTTATCTCTTTATTCGTCGGCTTAGATTCTTGTGGTGGTGTCAGAGGAGTCTTAATCGTATTAACTTGCTTGACTGAAAACTGTGTGGTGAAAGGCTCTACTTCCTTGGGCAACATACTTTTAGCTACTTTAATTTTAACATGATCGGCACCATGAAGTAAAGCGTCATCGTCATCTATACTCTTGACGATATCCTTGAGATAAGCAATATAATCGATAGCACTTTGAAGTATTGACATTTTATGAAGATTCTCTTGTTCTGCGCAGTATGGGATAAGTTGTTTTAATTGATGTATTTTATCATTGATCCGCTCACGTCGTCGTCGTTCGATCGCGCTATGAGACACCTTTCGAGCACGCTCTCGTTCATCTGCTGAACTAGCTGGGGTTTGCGAGGGTATAGGATAGTATGGAGGGTAATAGACAACAGAAGGATATTGCATTAAAGGCGGTGGAAGTGGTGCAAGTGGAGGTGATATATGTGGACGTTTAGAAGCAGGCTCTGACATGGATGATGCGGGGGATTTTCTTTTGGGAGATGAAGACATGACGAAAGATAAAGAGATGAAAAAAAGTAAAAAAAATATAAAAAATAAATCCAGAAAGGGTATTTTTATTTACGAAATGATTGTCCAAGTGATAAAGAGTTAAACGGATGGCCGTTTATATTCCCAATCAGTAAAGACATGCTCCTACAAGTATTCATCTGATTGGCTGATTTTAGAGTCACGTTCCTGGATCCGAAAATGGCTAATCCAAAGTGAAGTCATGGAGATGCAGTAAATATATAGGTTGATGATAAAATCTTGTTACTATGGCATTTCCTTGGACTACCGTTTCTTTGGTTACCGTTCATATAAAATACAGTGTATATAAAAGAAAAACTAATAGAGAGAGGGTTTATGGTTGGACAATTTATCCTCATTTAAAAACGTGATCAATTTGGATTTGGGTAAACTCTATGCACTGTACAACGAGCGCGTAGTTTGAATTATTGCCACAATGAAGGTCTGTGTGTGTATGAATGTGTGGCCATTGTTACTAGTTAATTTTTTTTCTTTTATTCTCTCTCTCTTTTTTTCTTATAAACACATATAAAAATATAAATAATGAGAGAAGTTATTTCGCTTCATGTTGGTAAAGACTACCAGACAAAGAAACTCGATAGTGTAGCTCACTCTTTCTCTCCTTTTTTATAGGCCAAGCAGGTGTTCAAATTGGTAATGCCTGTTGGGAATTGGTAAATCAGGTTTTATACATGTCAATCTTTATATTAAAAAATTTTTTATTATAGTATTGTCATGAACATGGAATCAATCCTGATGGTCATTTTGCTCCTGATGCCAATGTTCAAGATAGATCGTAAGACAAATTTTCTAGAAGAAAAGAAGAAGAAAAAAATTAACCTGGCAATTATATAGGTTTGAAACTTTCTTTTCTGAAACGGATAATGGAAGACATGTTCCTCGTACTGTCATGGTCGACTTGGAGCCATCTGTTATTGATGAAGTTCGTACAGGCACCTACCGTCAGTTGTTTCATCCAGGCAAGTTGTGTCTATGTAATGATGATATATCAGCCTCTTAACATTTAAATGCGTGTGTATTATAGAACAATTGATCAACGGAAAGGAAGACGCAGCCAATAACTATGCCCGTGGCCACTATACAGTAGGAAAAGAAATGCTCGACCATGTCTTGGATCGTATTCGCAAGTTGGCCGATAACTGTTCTGGCCTTCAAGGCTTCCTCGTGTTTCATTCATTCGGCGGTGGCACTGGTTCTGGATTTGGTGCTCTTCTCATGGAGCGTCTCTCGGTAGATTATGGCAAGAAATCCAAGCTTGAATTCACAGTCTATCCAGCACCTCAACTCTCAACCTCTGTGGTTGAGCCCTATAACTCCATTCTGACTACGCACACCACACTGGAGCACTCGGATGTATCCTTCATGGTTGACAATGAAGCCATTTATGATATCTGTCGTCGCAACCTAGACATTGAACAACCTACGTATGCCAATCTGAACCGATTGATTGCTCAAGTCGTTTCTTCTATTACCGCTTCACTTCGCTTCTCAGGATCCTTGAATGTCGATTTGAATGAATTCCAAACCAACTTGGTCCCTTACCCCCGTATCCACTTCCCTCTGGTCACTTATGCTCCCATTATTTCCTCTGCCAAGGCATATCACGAACAACTCTCAGTTCAGGAAATCACTTCATCCTGCTTTGAACCTTACAACCAAATGGTCAAGTGCGATCCTCGTAACGGCAAGTACATGGCCTGTTGCTTGCTTTACCGTGGTGATGTTGTTCCCAAGGATACCAATGCTGCTATTTCAGCCATCAAGACCAAACGCACTATCCAGTTCGTCGACTGGTGTCCCACTGGTTTCAAGGTTGGTATCAATAACCAGCCACCGACCATTGTCCCAGGTGGTGATTTGGCCAAGGTGCAACGTGCTGTCTGTATGTTGTCTAATACAACAGCTATTGCTGAGGCTTGGGCTCGTCTCGATCACAAGTTTGACTTGATGTACGCCAAACGCGCCTTCGTTCATTGGTACGTGGGTGAAGGCATGGAAGAAGGTGAATTCTCAGAAGCTCGTGAGGATTTAGCTGCACTAGAAAAGGATTATGAAGAAGTAGGTGCAGATTCATTAGGGGATTCAGAAATGGAAGACACAGAAGAGTATTAAATATATAAAGAGATCTTTTTATTACTATTATTATGAATTATTAAAACTATAAAAAAAGAGAATAATTAATACATGATTAGAATAAGACATGAAGGATAAAGATCTTCAGCTACACAACATCACTCGGCACTAGACTACCGCTCGATACATTTTCTCTTTGATCGTAACGGTAGCTCTAAGACGGCTCTTCCTATTATTTTGATGCATGGTGTTTTCATCCCTTTTACTTTATCTCCTTCCTTGTTTTGAAACTTACCATATTTAAAATGTTTACAAGGAGAAAATAAAAAAAAAAGAAAATGATTGAATTTAAATAAAGTCATGAAAAAATTTTTGCAGTCCAAGGCAGTCCTGCTGAGAGAAACAAAAAGCATTAACCAATCAAAGTAGTTCTCTTATTCAACTGTTCATTTTGGAGGAACATTGTTGAATAATGCGTCAAAATTAAGAGACTATAGAGGTTTAGTAAAAATACTTGTAACGTGTTTGCTACGTTAATGTTATTTAGATTGCGAAAAAGCATACGAGAAATTGGAAATAACTACTATCGAGTTTCTTATGATGGACAAGTTTTGATATCTGTAAATAAACTCGAATACGCTACAGACAATAAAGGTTGTCAATCCAAATACAACTATTTTATGGGACAAAGTCTCTGTTTATAGTAGGTTTATTGTGCATGACCTATTTTTTTAAAAAAGAAGAAGAGGAAAATTCCTTATGCTGTGATATATAAACAGCAACTACGCGCCTTTCTTTCTCGTTCTCCTTGTTAAATGTTGTCAGCCTTTGGATAGATAACTACTACTTTATAGTAAGTGCTAAGTTCTCTGAACATCTATAATATTTATTTACCATCGCTACTATTTCAAAGCTTTCTTGTAAAAAGCATTGCCGCAAGAGAAATCAAATTAGTACTCGACTATGTCCTGTTGGGCGAGCATAACAGAAAGCAACAACAGCTTAATAATAGAGTCTGTATCTATTACTCATCAAAAGCACCCACAGCAGTTTTCATAACACTAAAAACTATTCATTGCGTTTTGCTTGTATAATGTGTTATAAAGAGATAGAAGACTACTTATTATGCTTCACAAAATCACCAAGTGGCATTGTTAGCACTGAGTCATACAAAGAGATGTTCTTTTTTAAATAAAATATTTATTTTATTAAAGACATATCTTCTTGGTTACCACTCTTCCAAGTTTAAATTATCAATGTGCTTCTTGATCCGCATCTCGACAGCTACGTTGCTCTGTCGACAGTTAAAAGCTTGGGCTGTTTCAATTGTCAATTCATCCCTAGCTTGATAGCTATCTAGTAAGAACCCAGTTTCAACGTCTTGTTTTTCAACAATAATGTGGTTGAGCTGAGGTAACATATGAATCAAATCATACAAAAACGAGATATGAACGTGCTGAGATGCATTTGAGAGGACAAGGTGAGTTAGTTTGGGAGCGCGGACGAAAAGCTGTTGGCGAAGGATAACCAGAATGACTTCAAAGTCAATGCATAACTGAACAAGTCCGTTGAGCTCTGTTTGGCTTATCCATTGTGCTATATCGATGGGTCGTAGCGCAGAACGTGAAAGATCCAAATCGGTTGTTTTGTTGCGAATACAGCTCAATTTTTTAAGATCATCTAGCTGCAATCCACAGACACCTGCCAAGGAAAGCACTTGAAGATGAGCGCAGTACTTTCCGAGAATTTGCAAGCTGGTGGACGTCAATTCTGAGCATCCGCTGAGATCAAGCTGATGTAGGTGAATGTGTCTAAACTTTGCCAAGGCAACAACACCTTCATCGCCCAGTGATGTATTATCGATCAGTTCTACTGTACTCAAATGGTCGCATTCGGCTGCAAAGGCAGCTAGCCCTCTTCCCTTGTGGCGAAAAAGTCGGTTTAGCTTGAGATGAGCGACCTGTCGGCAGCTCCGGGCGATTGTGACCATCATGTCGTCAGTTATGTTTGGACAGTTTGATAGGTCAAGGTCGGTTAGCCTTGAAAGGCTCCAGGCGCCAGTTGGAAGTGATCGACAATGAAAAAAGGAAGCAGAGGAGAGGTTGAGCGAACGGATATTAGGTGCGTGTAGGACGAGTAGACGGAAAAAATTTGGGTTGACTCGATCGTATAAGCGTTCTTGGATTGTTGAGAGGTTGATATGCTCTATTTTCTCTTGTGTCGATCGTCGCACGTCGGGCAAATGCGATAGAAATCGATTGAACATGTAGAGTTCGTTGTGTATATGTGATGTTTGGTAGAATTGTGGTGATTTCCAAAGATATGGAGCTGTTTGCTGATAGAAATGTTTGCTCAGCACACTGCATGTTACAAGGTCTTGGCTGTTTAGATAAGGGATAACTTCAGCATAGACTGATGATAACCTTGACGCTGATGTACGTCGAAAAGGATTATAATCTTTTAAAGGACAAAATGTATTAATTATAGAAAGGGTATCTTGCATAATGTATAATTTAAAAAAAAAGAAAGAAAGAAAAACGACGCTTAAATCACAAGGCATTCTTATTGTACTTAGGGTTACACAGACGCTAAGCAGAATCTGAGTTGCATAAATTATTTTTATTGCTTTTGCAAAGTTCATGATGTACTTTGTATAATCGATAGCTTTCTAAATCTTTCCAAAACGTCATACATAGAGCTAGCCTTATTCTTCTTTTTCTTGGTAGATTCTTTCTCAGCATTGCCCTTTCTTTCAGAGTCATGAATGGACTCCATCATCTCTGTGTTTGACATACGAGCAATTTGAGATGGCTGACTAGTTCTAATCTCAGTATGATCCATATCAATTAGTACCATATAAACTAGATGACGATGCGCATGTGATTTGCGAAGCTTGAGCGAGACTCTGACATGATCAAATAGATTGAACTGTATCGGATGCGGCAAGTCTGGTGACAGCACAGAGATAGATGTGGGCATATTCACTTCAATATTGCAATGAGGTATCGTCTCCTGCTCATCGGCTAAATCATAAATACAAGATGAAAGCTCAGCAAAAGAAAAAAAAAGAACACAGGACTTTTTGTTACCATTTTTGCCAGATATGAGTGACAACGGGACGCTTGGCGTTCCATCCCTCTCCTTGAGATAAACAGGTCCTTTTAATCCAAGTCTACGCAATAGAGGCATGAGCTGACGATTTTATATTGTGAAATAGTTTACCTTGGGACATAGACATAGAAACCATTAGACCTAATCTCGGATATAATACCTTTTTCAATCAACGGATCACCATTGGCAGTCTATGAAAGTGATTTTAGCTACGGATGAACCTTTTAAACTAGATACCTTTTGTAACACGTATAAGCTTTGAAACAGTTCAGTGGAGTCCTAAAAACGAGAGAAAAAAAATGAGTGCTCAGGAGATGTATAGCAGAATGGATACTAGAAATCTCTTTTCTTACTCTTTGAGCAAATTTTGACTCTCTTGATTTGCGATTGAGGTTCTCACAAATGTCGGTAATAGCACTGTCCTTGAACATAAGCGAATGAATTACGCTATCCTTAACTGCAGTTGGATCGGCAACACACATGAGAAGTTGTCTATGTGCTACAATATCAGCATATCTACGAATAGGTGACTAACGTCACCCGTAAGTTGATATGCGCAAATTCATTAATGAATGCATACCGTAAAATGTGTATAAAACTCCAAGGCAAGACCATAGTGATAATACTGATCAACAGGAAACTGTCCAGATGAGATGTACCCAGCTTCATTCATAGCGATCGTTGCCATCGTTTTAAGAAGCTTAGCAATCTCAGGATCATCTTTACAAGCATCTGTAATTTTTTCTAGAGATTGGCTCAGCGCTCGGTTAGATGCAAAATCGACCGAGAAGCCCTGAAAGATATTAATCGTCTACAAGCATGGAGAGAATATGCTTTTACCTTGCTTTCGGCTGCTTTGACAAGCTTTTCAAACTGTGCAGGGCTAGGAGGTGGATGATGTCTAAGGATGGCTGCATCTTTGTATCCTTCGTATATTCTTTTTCCGACTGAAGCATTAGCCAAGATCATTGCTTCAGCAACCAGGCCATGAATTTCCATACTATCTTTAGGGAGTAAAAAAGAGAAAGTTCGGGTTAAGGATAATATAAGAGTTAGTAAGCTGTGTTATGTCTTTTATAGTATTGAAAAGGATATTAATATCTGTAATCTCATGTTTATCTGTGATTTTGAATTTTATCTCTGATCCTTCGAGCTCTAATGCGCCCTTAGATAAACGTCTATCCTATAAGCAATGAATACAATAAGTGGTTTTCATAATGCAAATATCTCTGTCCTTACTCGAATCACTCGAAGTACTTCAGCTAACTTTTCTATACGCGGCTTCAGCTTTTTACAAAGAGAAGCATCTAATCCGGTAGCCACCTGTTTCCCATTGAGTAACTGCTGAGCTTGTTCGTATTCCATTTCGCAACTGGAGTGGATAATGGTTCTGCCAAACCACGTGTCCACAATATTATAATGTTTATCCAATGTCCAAATGACAGACACAGAATATCGGTCGACATGATGCCTTAACGAGCATACTCTTTCACTCAGTACTGACGGAAGCATATCAAATCTTCTATCTGCTAGGTAAACTGTAGTACCTCTGATAGATACTTGTTTAAGATATTGATAAAGTCATTTTTATCTAGCGTTACCTGGATCTAGCTTCGAGATCTGTTATATAGTTCTCTTTAACAAAATAACTGACATCAGCAATATGAACGCCTAATTCTACTTTTCCGTTCTCGAGTTCTTTTATAGAAAGCGCATCTATTATTTTCCCATGAGAATGGATTTATTTATTTTTGCAAATTGTCCAACTTACCGTCAATGTCCTGACAATTTGGAGGATCAATACTGAATACAACCAAGTTCCTTAAATCCCTTCTCTTGCCAATCTCCTCCTAATTATAGCATTAGTAAGCATAGTAGCCAAACCGTGTCAATGAACGAACTTCTTCGGGTTTCCATGGAGACTCGGGAGTATCAACAGGCATTTCCTTTAACGACGCTTCACTGAAACCTTGGCTTGCTTGAGATACAGATATGGAGTGCTCTACCAGGATGGCTGATATTTCAGAGTCGAGGGTATGTATGGGACCCAAGGATCGCACAAAGTGTCCGTTTGGATACTGTGAAGAAACAGGCCTAGAAAGAAGGTAAGAGTAAATGCAACAAACGAGATGCGAGACTTACCAATTGTCGATACGGACGACAATACGCTGATTTTCGATCAGTTTGACATCATGGTACCTTATCCTGATCTTTGGAATGACAGGATCAAGTGGAATTGCCAAATGAATAGATCCACCTGCTTCAGCACTATCTTCCTGTATGGTTGCTACATATGATCTCCAGTTTCTGTTCAAAATACCGACAACTCGTCCTGCTGCCTGACTTGGAGTTACAAAGGATTCATCCTCATACTCTAAAAGATGTTTTTTTTCTTAGTATACATGAATATTACTTTATTAAGCAAATTACCATCGTCAGCGTTCGTACTCTCATATGCAATGTCATTTGATGGATGAATCCAATGATTTTCTGACAGCAGTTCCACAACCACAGCATCACCATGTACTACATAATGACAATTTGTATGCTATAGTCAAGGCCCAACAAAAATGGTTTACCTGCACGGTTACGATGATCGTTGCCAGTGATGGTAATATGCCTTCCATTATTACCAATAATGTACGCTTGGTCTCTGCTGTCTTTCTTACAGCGCAAAGTGCCTGAAAAGTATCTTCCTGATTTGATACCGACCTCAAGATCCTCTATAGGTTTGTACTAGCATAAACATGTGAGAACCTTTCAATAGTCAAAGGAAAAAAGCCATACTTCAGTATAACCCGATACGGCTGTTTCGTTCGAGCCATGTTTGTTACTAAACTTGATTTTTCCAAATTCGTCTTCTTCAAGTAGTACAACATCAGCCAAACCTTGTATTAAATCATTTAACAAGACATGGTGACCCCAATAGCGTTGAATATATTCCTTTGTGGACATGACATCTATGTTTGTTGATAAACATGTCATATCTTGCTGCTGCTCAGTCAAGATGATAATTTTCTTTGAATCCTTCAAATGGATCCGATACCATTCTGCCAATACACACAAGGCCCGCCAATCTCTGTCTGAAGAAGGCTCATGGGGTAATCGATGTACCTTGGTTTCTTCAAAAATCTCGTTATAAAATACAATACATTTTCGCCGAGAATCATTTGTAATCTGTCGAATCTTTCGATACAGTTTCATCTTGTCGTGTTGTTGAAGCTAAAATTCGCAAAGTAAGCCAATACTAGAGCTTTAAATGTGCATATGTACATAATTATATATTTACATTGGCTGTAACCGTTTGACTGTAAATTACACCCGTGATTTCTTCTTGTTCAAGTACTTCCAAGTAACGCATGATAACCTAAATACATGTGTTTTTATATATTATTCTATATTTTTTCTATTGTAAATACCGAAATATCTGGTATAAGATAATGATCACTTGAAGAACTTAATAGTGCTTGACTTCCATTATTATCACAGTTCATAGGACAGGCTTCTGACAAACATGGAATATCACTACGAACATATTCTAAATTGGAGTTTTATATAATACAAAAAACGGCGTGTCAATTTTATTTCATTATTATTATTATAACGTATGTTTACGTTCTCGCACAAGCTTAACAATAGAATTTCCCTTGGTCTTTTTATAAAATGCACGATCGCTTTTTAATGACATTTCTAATTCAAGAAAAAAAAAAAAATATGTGTCTATACCTGTTTGTCTATATGTGTCTGTGTGTGTGTAAGTTTATATGTTCACTAACAGTCACATGAATATAGCTTTATATGTGATGCCACCTGTTCTTATTGTCTTCAAGAACAATTGCTGAATTGCAAAATAGTATGGCACGTGTATGAATATGTCTATTAGTTTAAGGTTAAAATCTTATAATAAGAAAGTATTTAAATAAGTATCGTCTTTTGCTTTTTTTTTTCTTCTTCATTTTATTTAAATAGCCTTTGGTTTTCTCTCTCTTTTTCTTTCTTTTTTCTCTTTTTTTTTTTTTTTCTTGCTATTGTATGTACATTTGTCCTTATAAAAAGGGTTTATATGAAATTTTCAAAGTATTTGGAAAGTCAGAGTGTGCCTGAATGGCGGAAGGCTTATATTTATTATAAAGGACTTAAAAAGAAATTAAAACAAGTGGAAAGAGTAGCCATGACAACAAAGGCTCTGTTACACCATTTCATTAATCTCCTTCTTTTTTATTTAGTTTCGCAAGTCAAAAGAAAGAAGAGCAGCCGTTTACATAGATCAATACTTTCAAAACATTGACCAGACACCATCTCACAAGCTAGGATCAGGGATATGCAACTCGCCTTCTTTTATATATTACTTTGATCGGTCTACTTCTCGGCCAGGTATATTAATAATAAAAACATTTAAGCATGTATGGACACGTACATGCCTTGTATACAATACTTTGAACATTTTCTAAATCATCTGTTTATAGCTTCTATCAAAACAAGCAGAACGAGTATTTCTATATTAGACGAAGTATTATATCATGCCAGCTCTTCCGAGAGACAGTTTTTTGATTCTCTAGATTATGAACTTGATAAAATATCAAGATTTTACAATGGTAACATATTTCTATAATTATTGTCCTCTATTTACTGAAACAAGTTGTTATGTAGAGAAAGAACAAGAAGCTAAACTAAAGCTAGATGCTTTAAAAGTGCAAGTACAGTTTATTGCGGAGTTTGGCCGTCAATTACTTGATTTAGGAGTAAGCTTAATACAGAAAAAAAAAAAAAACAACCCATGACCAACGTGTAACTTTCTCAGCCCACTCAACTTCTTTCACGACAAGTGGAAGATGGCCGATCTCATGGATTTAAATATCAGGATCAGTCATATACATTGTTCCCTAATGGAGAACAACGTATAAGCTATACCGTAGCCAGAAACAGGTTGAAGAAAGCTATAACGGAGTACTATCGAAGCTTAGAATTCTTAAAGTCGTATCGAGAGTTAAATGAAACTGGCTTTCAAAAGATCTTGAAGAAGTTTGATAAAATAGCCGGATGGAAAGCCAGTACGCTATATATGAAAGTTGTTAGAAAACAACACTGGGTAACTTCTACGGAACTAAACCGTATTATAAATGAGACAGAGGTATTAAGAAAAACACGCCATGTATTTACGTGTATACATTCGTGTGCTGCGATATTAAAAAATAAAATTAGACTTTATACATTAACGAATTTGCGGATGGACACCGGAGACGCGGCATGAGTAAACTAAGGGCTCCGGAGGCCAACAAAGTAAGGATATACCCCCCCTCTTGTTTGTTATATTACTAATTATCCTCCTTGTTTTCTTAGGAATACACTTCAACTACGCTGCGCGTAGGTATTTTACTGGGCATGGCTATTACTTTATTCATTCAAGCAATTCAAATAGGTAAAGCATAATTAACCTGTATAAAAATAATGTATACAAGCATCATACCTTATTATAGCTGCTGATCCATCCATATGGACACAACTACCAAATATATACATCAATATGCAGATCTACGCTTGCTTTCTGCTACCTGTATTATTCTGCTTGGGATTCTCTGTCAATCTTATCATCTGGCATCGAGCAAGGATCAACTATAAATTCATATTTGAATTGAATCCACGGCAAAACTTGGACTACCATCAGTTTGCTGAGCTTCCGTCCTTCTTGCTGTTTATTAGCGCCCTAATCATCTACTCTGACTTTTCACAACTAGCCTATCCTACTGTTCCCTCAGAACTGTATCCTCTAATTCTATTTATTGCATACATGGTTATTATGCTATGCCCATTCAACGTGTTTTATCTTTCTGCAAGACGATGGTTAGGTACAACTTTGGTAATAGAAATCAACATAGCGACCAAATCTCCCAATACTAACCTTACCTAATATAGGTGCGGATTGTCTTGTCCTATTTCTTTGCAGTAGAATTTAGGGATTTCTTTATTGCCGATGAGCTCAACAGTTTAGCTTACTCTATATGGACATCATCATACTTCTTTTGCGCCTACTCTGAACACTGGTCTAACCTGGAGGAAACATGTAATGTGCCGCAATATTGGATATCACCTATACTAGCCTCTTTACCTCCTTGGTGGCGTTTATTACAGTGCTTCAGACGATACAAGGACTCCAATGAAAAGGTGCATCTATTAAATGCTGCAAAATATACAAGCAGTATTCTTGCTGCCCTTGTATCTGGGGCACGGCGTATATACCGTAGGTAGCTTCTATATTATAAAAAAAGATCATGGTCTAATAAGAACGCGTGTGTGGGTAGCATCTAGAGGAATGAATATACTTTGGGTCTGTGTATGCATAGTAAATTCGTGCTATACGACTATTTGGGACATAAAAATGGACTGGGGGCTGTTTATGTCTAACAGCAAGCACTTTCTACTTCGCGATGAACTTGTATTCTCTCGTTGGGTAACTAACTAATGCACCATGTGATACGTGCACTCGCTTATAGCCTTTGACAATATAGACATACTATGTAGCTGTCTCAATCAACATTTTGCTCAGATTTTCATGGACGATCAGCACATGGGGATTACCCCTGAGCAGTCAGTTACTGGCTTTTCTTATTGCTCTTTTGGAAGGATATCGCCGTATTCAATGGAATGTTTTTAGACTAGAAAATGAAGTAAATAGCAATAATCCTCTATGAGTAATAGAAATAACCTGTTTTTGCTTAGCATTTGAACAACTGTGGTCAGTATAGGGCTATAAAGGAGATTCCTCTTCCATTTGCACTATGTGAAACCAGCGTGGATCAGGACCCACTGGAAAGAGTCAGTTTGAAATCTGCTGAACCTATTCCTATAGCTCGCCATCCCTCTTACCATACCATCAGACAATCCTATGACGTTGGATCATTTTATGGTCGTAGAGATTTTGAAAATAAGCGGGATGAAGACGTGCCTGTAGGATCGGTTAACAGCTTGTGTAGAAAGCCCTCTACCCTTGAGCATGTCTTGACACATATTCGGTCATTAAGAGGATCACTACAGGGCTCTGATAATAGTGATGATGATGAAGATGAGGATGACAGTGAAGATGGTAGAGACGGAGAACATGATTTATAGAATATCATGCACTGTATAGAATATATTTATCCTATAAAAATAAACGCTATATACATTATCTTATGTACTTTTTGTTTCCTTTAAGTTCAGTATGAAAAGAGTACATCATTATACTTTTTTGACGCCAAGCTGCGTAATAATCACAAACTGAAAGCTTAAAAAGAAGGTCATAAGTTGGGATTTAGTGCTTAATCTATATATGTACACTCTCATCTTACTCAAGTCACTTTACTATCCTCCCCAAAAGATCTTCATTCAGTATCAGCCTAATAAAATTTTAACAACCATGGCTAGAATAATCAATGCCCGTCTTTTTGTTCCTATCTTGCATCACAACAATCGTTATCTTTGTTACGGTAGCATCATTATACATAGAACAGAGCTCAACACTATGTTAAGCTGTAACAACAGTAACTGGAATCCATGTTGACCTACTGCTCCAACTATAATCGTTTTTTTTAACAAAAGGATTTCTTTTATTTTATTTGAAGGATCTCTAAACAAAACCGACATTAGTGTTGGAATGATATTTTATGGTACGTGATAAAGCACAGCTACATATACAAAGAATAGAGTGATATCATAAGATGTAAAAACAAAACCGAAACTTTTTTATTCAGCCAAGGTGCTGTCTAATTTTTGACCTAACAGAGAAGAAAACAGTTCATCAGCCATTTCGTCATGCCAATCTCCAGCAGGTATAGGTGCCATAAAGTTTTGCAATTTTTCATGCACATTGAATCTATCGTAAATGGATAAGTATTGGCATAAATTTAGTACATGTTTTCATATTACCGAAGTTGGCGGCCTTTGCTTGCTTTTGTATGCACTGCTTTCTTCTTTTTCTTTTGTTCGTTCTTACGAGCTGCCCATCTCATACCAATGGCCGTTGGGTCATCTGTGTCGACCATTCGTGATTCGATCAATTCACGCAGCTGCTGTTGATAAAAGTCATGATCGTCAAAGATTTCTGCATCATAGGTATTTAAATGGCGATCTGCCTTCTTCCCACTATCAATCTCTTGTTCTACTTGTTCTGCCTCTATTTGCGTTTTACCAATGATCTTATATTCTGAACGTTGAAGCTGTGTTCTCTTTATCAAGTTTTCTTTATCTCCAAGTACATGTTCTATTTGTGTCATAATATTTTGATCAAATGCCTTAAACTTCTTGTTAAGACGTGCTCCAGCAGCTACTTGGACCTTATTACTCCACTTTTCTAAAGTACTATTACGGAAAGGTACAAACCTAATGATACACGTTGAATATACAGGCTCTCTGTTTTCAATATGCATAAATACTTACACATCGTTGATTTCTGAAATATCTTTCCAAAGTTTATCAATATAGACATCATCGTCGTCAAGGTGTCTCTTTCTGGTATTAAAGTTCTTTTTTGATAAATCGATGCAGCCGTTTTGCTCAAATAGTCCAACACGAATATCCATGAGATCATCAATCACTTGTCGTAAATCCGTTTTTACTTGCTCTAAATCCTCCTCAATACCTTCTGACTTTGTAAGGAAATCAACATAGGTATCATTTTGTGGGAACTTGTTCACGCTATCAACCAATTTTTGCATACGAATACGGTTTTCTAAGCAATTATCCCATAAAGTCTACAGCATACAGGATTGGTAAAGACATGTGGCAATTTCTTTTTGAATTCTTACCAGTTGTTGACGGACATGTTGTCCCTTTTCAACATCAGTTTGTGCACTCTTTGACAATTGAGAAATGATTTGTCTATGTGGTTTAATTAATTAAACTGATACAAGTAATGCACACAATGCTTACTTTTCTTCCTGCTGTATTTTACGAAGCTCTGTGTTTACTGCATCATCGTCTTCTGCTTCATTTTCGTCATCATCATCTCCTTCATCGCTGTCTTGTTCTTTATCATCATCGTCACTCTCTTGTTCTTCACTTTCTTCATCAAATCTTTCTTCATTTTCATCATCGTCGCTGGTAGCTTCTTCTTCATGGCCACCATTCATGGCTGTCTTTAATAAATCTTGATCGTCATCAAAATCATCGTCTTCGTCTGCATCACTTGAACCGCTCTCTTCGCTATCATCATCCTCTTCTTTCTCCTCATCGTCTTGAATACCTTGCCATTCTTCCTCTTCTTCTTCACTTTCAGAGTAAATATCTTTTCGACTGGCTCGTTTACCAGCATATCGAGGATCGTCTAATATAGGCTGCTGTTCACTGCGAAGTTTACTCTTGCCAACAGAAACATAATGTTCTCTTGCAGCCGATTCGTCATGATCTTGTTGATCATCATCTAATTCCTCTTTACTTTGATTGTCATCTTGAAAAGGTTCATGGATATCTTCAGGATCGAAATCTATAAGGAAAGAAAAGATGAGTATCTTTTTCTTTAATAGGTTCCTTATGACATCAACTTACCAACAGGTGTTGTAGATTCTATATCAGCAATGAGATCAGCGAGTAAAGCGTTTTCTATAGAAACAGAAATGATTAGACATGATGTTATTTTTAATAATGTCCTTTTTCTTACTCTTTGGCATTTAAAACTGTGCTAGAAATAAGGATATGAGACTTGCAATGTGTGGGTTTAGAAGAAGACTGTGTATGTGTGGCTTAAATTGTGACTTGCAGTTTTATTTCCTTTTTTGTAAACGTTGTTCCTTGCAGTGGGCAATTGTAAATAGAGCATAAACAACCGAAAGTATGCGACAGTGCAATAGTCCAAATAGATGATACATAGCTCTTTATTTACTCTGAATAGTGGCTCTTTCAAAGATAGTTTATTTTATTTTGGTGTAAGCTTACACTAGTGTTTCTCATCACATTCAGAATATCCAGATCGTACTAAAGAATTCTTACGCGTCTTTTTCTTTCTCTTTCTATTAGATAATTGGATAAGGAATAACAAAGGCCGTTCGGACCGACCTACTGTGGGCATATTAATTATTTTAGGAAACCGTAATAATCTAACTTTCCTGGAGAACTGTGTGTTTTCATCCTGTTCAGATTCAAGCCTAACCTATTTCAGATAGATTTTTTGAAGGGAGAAAACAATAAATGAGGTAAGACCAAGAAAATTGAGGCTCGTTCAAGAGTTTTCACCAAGGAAAATCCTTTTCTTCAAACCTTATTGAAATCAGCCAAGTTCACTTTTCGTTAAATCCAAATGAGCGAAAAAGTAGTTTAGCGTGAATCAAAAAGGGAAAATACAACGAATGAAAATCAATTAAGCATTGCCATTTTGCCGTACAGTCCTTTCCTGTAATGTATGCTACTCTATGCCTTTTCTTCACTCAGAAAGGTGCCAAGGGTACCACAACAGCATCGGGGAAAAAGCCGCCGCTCGTTTTTTGGATGGGGGAAAGATGATTTCGTTCGCTGGACATCATTTATATCTGTTTGCGTGTGCGAAAGTCCCTTCCAATAAAAGAAGGAAAGACTATCACATAGCGATATAGACCACTACGCCAATCTCTCTTAAGGGGACTTCCTTAAGTGAAATGAATCATGCCTTCCATGGGTCAAAGTAAGGACAAGCTAAATATAATTGAGGGTTTTAGGGAGAGCAGTCAATGGTAAGATTATATGCATGCTCAGATTTTCCTAACCATGTTTAGCAAATGGTCCGCAATCAGTTAAATTTTAGTAGTTTCCGTATCATTGCAGTGGGCCATGTATTACTGTAGATATTTCCAAAAAGGGCATCCAAAGCTCCGGATAAAAAACTTAACATTAGTTTTCCAAGTTGTATAGAAACAGAGAATAGCTTATTTAATGCGTCTGCTGTGTTTTTCTATTTCCATTGCTCTTGAAAATAAAAGATGATTGTTGGTTGTGAGTAGCTTATATACAATCCACTTTTCATAATGTTAATGATCACATTGACTTTGTTTCTTGGAGCAAGTATATTTTATCGTCCAATGCAGCCAAGGTTAGCCTTATGATTGTCTTCTCGGGTTAACAATGGACAGAATCTTGCAACTAGGTGTTCAGATGTACATTATTGCTGAAAGAACTTTTGCAATCAGTTGTAGGGCTTTTTCATTTACCAATGTTAATATATGCTGCAAATGTAAATGATTTGTTTCAATGTTGTGTTGAGCGGGTAAGCTATTGAAAGGCATCATCTTCTGTTTGACTTTTTCTTCATTTAATCTCAAAGAGAGTCTTAATAGCTACTTATGGATCTATTTGTCCATTGAACAAGACTCAATAGCCTTTTTGCAGATCGATAAAATCATAATCGACTGAACGTAAAAAAAAAACAAAAGCTTCACCACGGCCGTACGAGTAGAGTCCAGCCGTCAATTTGACATTACTGAAGCTTTGTAAATTACTTACTGGTTGCGTTCTAGACTTTTTAAAGCAGGCTGACTGCTTGTCAGATGAAAGACGTCAGGATCACCTTGTACTTCGTTCCAAGCTCATCCCGTGGGACCATATTGATCACAGAGATAAAGAACAGCGTACAAAAAGATAGGCATTGAAGAATTCTGGATTCTTGGTCAAGAAAAGGCATATCAAGACAATGCCAAGTTGCACAGGCCCTTGTATTGTTCTCATTCTTGAAAGCGAGCTTCACTATCAAAGCAAAAAGGCTTACAATGAGAATAATAAGCTGGATATTGATTATGTTTAGAAATGAAAAACTCACAAGCAGAAAGTAGGTACTTTATAATATGCTTACTGTAGTCGCATTTCAGTGTATTTAGCATTTCTTGAAGATCAAGTGGTATTGTGACACTTTTCAGTTTGGGGAGATTTAAGCTTCTCTGCATCGGGATATCAAAAAAGGTCCAAGTCCAAAAGAAAAAAAAATAACAAACATACTGAATCCAGATTTAAGAGTAATGCCAGTCATGGCTCCTTTTTTTTTACTTTTGAGGAATAACCGTGAATAACCTCAGAATGATATAAGAGAACTGAAGTTAACTTTAAAAAAAAAAAGAAAAGAAAAGAGATTCGGGATCATCCGGAAAAAGGAAAGGAAGAAAAAGAGAGGAAAAGGTTGACATGTTGTACAGTGACAAAAATTATCCATTGTCAAGGAAACAAAGGTTGGGGTCTCACAAAGATTCAGAGTATTAATTCCCCAAAAAAGTAGGTCAAAATGGGGGAAATATATAAAATAGAAATTAAAATTACGCCCTATCTCTCTTTTTTTTTTTTTTGTTCTTCTTTCAATTGTAAAATGTATTATTATTCATCTTCAAATGAAATCCATTTGCCATTGTTGATCAAGAATACATTAGCAGAGCATTCCTTACCTTGGAATAATCTCGACCAACTATCCTCTTTATGGGCCATTTTCACAAAATGCAAGTCGAATATCCAAGATGGATTTCGTTTGGAGAACCTGTCTTGGAGGCTGTGGTATAGACATTCCGTTTTACAAAAGAAGCAAAAACCAAATACTGTAGCAGACATTGATATGACTGTAAAGCAACATACCCTCAAGCGAAGTCGCTCTTTACCTAATCTGAATGAACCCAAGTTGAAGTCGAATAGACGTAAATTCTATATTGATGATCACTCACAGCGTCAGCCTCAACCTCAACCTCAACAACAAGAGATAATTAAAAAGAAGCCGCTTATCCGTCGCTCATCCACATTACCAAAGCCCGTATCTCTACTATCTGAAATGTTTTCAAGGGCAAATGCTTCGTCAACTACCGATCAAACTAAAAGCTCCGGTCTTCGCCGATGCCAGTCTCGCTATTGTAGATTAGATCAATTCTTCTTAAATGCTGCTTAATATATACATACAAAGTTTCAATCTAGAGAAACTCTATTCCCCCCTCCTCTCCTCCTTTTATTTATTTCACAACTAATAGTAAATAGTAATCGTACATATACAATAAATCTCTTTTTGTTACCAATCTGTAAAAGATATAAATGAACCGTCTCGCCTCATGACATCCGTTTGTACTTGTGCTGACCAAGCTGCTACTTTCAATAGCTGATCATCTTCTCGACCGATCAAATAATCCATACGCGTCAAGATCATCCAATCCATAAACACGCGTGCATACTGTTTCTTGAGCTGCTCTTCATCCGATTGAAACATCCTCCACGTCTTGGGCGGTGTATCCAAATCCTCAAAGGAGTGCCCCTCAGCTACAGCATGTACTGAACAAACCCCTAACAGCCTTTGACGCATTCGAGCAAGAGCCCCTGGTGAGGTTGCAGAGATAAAGACGTGGCAATTTCCCACGCATACTTGTTGGACCTGAGCAGCTGTTCGATCCACATCTCCCATGTCCGTCACGCGCACGCCCACCCGAAACCAGGATGGGTGGGATGGGGGTAATATCGCATTATGGGGATCAAGCATATTCAAGCCTTCGCCCAACCTGACCTGTCCACCCATTAACTCTCGATAAGGTTCCAATTGCTGTGAAAGCCAATCTGTCGGCCGATAGAATAAGAGACGACTGACGATCAAAAACCAGTCGGATTTCATCGCAAGTCGACTTAGGCCGTACTGTCCTGCTTTACCGGCCGCTGTTTTGTTCCAGTTGGTTCGTTCTTGCCATACGGTGGTGCCTATGATGCGTTGAGGAACGTCTGCTAGACTGGCCTCGTTGATGATGGGTATATAAGTCACATCTTGATGTTCAGTTCGATTCAGATAGTACTGTGCTTGCCATGTTCGCATAGCCATATAGCCAGGTGAGGGTTCCAGAAACCATTCGAATTGAACAGGGTAGATCATGTCGTAAGCAAATGCAGCATCTTTCGGATGGAGCATAGTATTGTAGTAGGCATGAGTAATGTCAAGCATTCGCTCGGCTAACGTTCCACATTGCTGATTTGGTTTACAGCTGTATAATATGAGAAGTGGTGGTGTAGATATGTCTGGTGTGCGATTGGTTACATAACTTGTACGGATATGGGCCAAGACAGAAGTAATTCTGTGACGACGACTGTTACTGGCTAATCGTGATGTGTTAGGTAATTGCTGCTGTTGTTGTTGTTGTTGCTTAGATGATGGAGGAGGGAAAGAAGATCTCCATATAAACAGTAAATAAATGCAAAAGGTAACAAGTAATAGAAAGGGTATGAAAGTTGCAGGTGTAATACTTTTCATTCA